GCTTTAATTTTACCTGTTAAATACTGTTATATACTGGGTCAAAAAATAGCACAGTGCAGTTTTAGGTCATTTTACTAAATACAACTAAATTATTATAAATTTGATCACTCAGAAGTTATTCCACAGCAAATTACCCTATGCAAATCACCCTTATTTCTATAGGAATTTTTTTTAATTCAGCTTTCGAAAACTCAAATTACTAGTCCTTGAGGTGTGAGAATGCATGGTTGGATAAGGTTAAGTAGAGTTGTAGGGTCATTAACAAATGACTTGGGAGATTTTGGAGCTGTTATTTTGTAGCAGAAATTATCAGTGTACAGAAGGAAGAATATTTCCTGTTTCCTGAGATGGTGATATTATTTGATGTAACATTATGTAAAAAGGTTGTAGCATTGTATATTCATTATTGGTAGAAGGAAGCAAGAATCCCTTGAATGAGAAAGTGATAAGGAAGGAGGCATTTATGTCCATTGGACTCCTAGTGAAAACATTTGGAGACTGTTGAGGTCCTAAATTTATAATGAGCTTAGGAACAATGCAGGGTGTTACTAGATTTGGAGTGAGGAGAGGGTGAAGAGATGACTTATATTTACTTATGTTTTATTTGGTGAGCAAAATTACAGACAGGCTGCACTCCCAAGTTGGTAGAGCTCTGCTGGAAGGACTAGCATCTCCTCTCTGTCCTAATTTCCTCACTGTTCAACCAAGAGACCATTATCCTTTCTGGTTACTACTACTTTATGCAATCTGTAGACCAGCCTTTCCCAGCCTGGTGCTGTTAAGACTCACTGGGCTACAACTCTTGCATTCGTTTGCCAGCATGTCAAACACATCTGGAGAACACCAAGTTGGAGAAAAGTCTGGTACAGAATGTCTTCTTGGCCCTGTGTACTTTTTCAAATTAACTCTTCCACTTGACTGGAGACTGTAGGTGGAACTAATAACTATTTATAATTAGTACAGTACTTTTATTATTTGCCAGACATGAGTGTGGTAAGTGGATATGGTGGACATCAGCAAGGTCCAAGAAAAATAAACTCACAGAAGCTGGTTGTTGTTGTCGTTTAAAGGAATAAAAGGTTAAGATTCCAAAGAAGCATCACTGAGAATTTCCCCCTTCTGCATTGTAGCTGTGTGCTACAACTACAATGGGTTAGGCTCTGATTGCCTTGAAGAGTACTCACTTCCCCTGCACATTCTGCTTTATTGAATACCTGAAATTAGCTACATAGTACTTAATACTGGGTACAGGGGAACATGCTGTTTTCTGGTGTTACCCTGAGAAAATTTCAGATGTCATACCAAGGTTTCACTCCTGCTGTGTATTTGAAATCTGAGTGTTTCCTCTTTTCTCCCCCTCCACACACCCTGCACCCCCATGCAGTCAGTTACAGACAGGTCACTAGGCGGTACATTGTTCTCTTGTTCCAACTGGGTGTGCCTCCCTCTGAAACATGCTATGATCTCTCTAAGTTCTGTTTAGCTATGAATCACTAGGCTATTGTTGGTTACCAAGCAACACTTTCATGTTTGCTTCCAGGCCCAAACATGTTGCAGTGGTAGACAAAATTTGGTGTGGTTATAGAACCAAAAGAGATGGTTTGAAAGAATCAAACTTAAGGCTTCTTAATAAATAGTAGTAGTAGTAACATCAAACTTTTCATATGGTTTCTTGCCTTACAGGCAGTTAAACTGTCACAGTCTTGTATAGTTACATGCTCCCTAACAATGCTTGGCTATTGTTCTGGCAATTAGACAAAACAGGACTATTGCTGCAGCTTTAGCAATTAAAAATATGTAGTATCTATTGAATCAGCACTGATAGTTTTACCAGTAGTGAAAAGCTCATTAGAAAAACTTATGTTACTGAACTCAGCCAGTCAACACGTAGGACAAGCACAGGTGGACCCCAGACCCCTAGTCCAGAGGGGCCTGAGACAAGACTTAGAGCCAAACTAGACTTACTCTAGTGTGCTATAGAATAAAGGGAGACAAAATGGGATAAACAGCCCAAAGCAGTGTCTCTAAAGTTACACCCCAGTTCATGTGCGTTATACCCTACAGAAGCAATTAGGTCACCCGATACACATCTAGTGCATCAATACATCAGTGTATGTAACATCCCCACTGCTGCTGGCTTCAACGAGTCCTTTCTTCTGTTAAGGACTGGACATTTCTCATGTCTATTTCTTATCTGCTCGAGATTCACACAGGCTTGCCATGTTCTTACACCCTGCACATTTGCAACTTTCATGGTAGCTAGAACCAGTTTCCACTGTCCCTTTGCTTACTGCGTTCAGGGTCAAACTAGCTTGTTAGCTGTTGGTTACACAAAGTTCATTTTGTTCTATCTCCTTCCCTTCTGGGACAGTATATCTGTGGTATTTTTACTCTGTGGCCAACTACTCTCTGGCCAACTACTTTTGGGATGATGCGATTGGCAACACTTGGATCAGCTGCCAGTATTGCTCTTCTGCATTCATCATAGGACAAACAGAAGAGTCTCTATGCTGCCTCCCACTAAATAAATAAATATATAAATAATGGTAGCCCCAAATCTGACATCAGAAATAGTAATATTGAAGAAGAGTGAAGTTCATGGTATATTGAAAGTGGGAAATGCTGAATAACAATTCAGCAAGAGTTCAGTCTTGAACCTTGAATTGAAATAAAGGTGTGTTTTTTAAAAATGCATGTGATTTAAATAAATGTGTTAATTAGCTTACCAGTGCTAGGATGTCAATGAAATTACCAAAACGTTTTGTGAATTACCGTTGCATTTCCTTCTGGCTTCCCACCACTGCCACTATACAACTCAGCATTACAGTTTATGCATCTGGAAATAGTGGGAACTGAAGCCTAACTTATCTGGAAAGTACTATGTTGGATAAGACTGGTTTAGTGTTGTGTCTGAATAAGGTCAATCAAATGTGGTTTGTGTGTATAGTCTATATGGTTGCGCATATATATATATATATATATATATATATGTATGTATGTCTATTTTTTATAAATGGAGTGAACTGACCACAAAGCTTAAGCTTAAAATAGTAGTAGTTATTACTATTATGTTTTCATGTATTGTCCTGATTTGCATATCATGTTAGTAAACTGTGTATTGATTAACCCATGAATTGTGAGGTTGCATGCTGTGCACATGCCACTGCCACCTTGAGTATGCAACCCCTGATTTGCCCAGTCATAGGTAGTTGCAAGCCCAGACACTTTAGGTTGTTCATGAGTAAAGCAACCATATTTAATCTAAAACATTCACTTGAGCTGGCAGCTTGCTTTCCATATCCTGGAATTTTAATTGCCCGAATCTCGGTCTCTTCTTATGCTTGATAGAAATATAATGTGTGGGATTGGTATGAAACATTTTTGTAAGAGTGTTGGTGCCTTTATATAAGGACCTTTATATCCTCATAAAGGTGTTGGTGTGTTCACCTGGAAATATATTTGCTATTAATATGCATGCTTGCTTCATGCTATTAATGAACGTGGCAAAGGAGGGTGGAACAGATACTTGCCAGTCCTGTCTTCAGAAGAAAGATGACTTTAGATAAGTAACTTGATTGTGCTTGGATGACTTGCTGAAGAATGAAAGTATGATCTCATTGTCTAGCATTTACTCGTTGGAAGCAGATGTGATCAAATGTAGATGTTTACTGAAAGCCTTTTAACCTGTAACTTGGAAGCTATTGAAATCGAGCCCTGTAATTCTTGGTATGTAGACCAGCTTTCTCGATCTTTTTACCCTGGAGGGTTCCTTGAAATAATTGTCTCTGGGAACTGCTGCATAAAAATTATTATAGAGGTAAAGCCTGGATTTAATGTAAATAAAGGTTGCAAATTGAACTTCATTTGAGCTATTTGCAACATGAACGTTTATTGCCAATGTTGAATTGTATGGTTATTGAAAAACATAAAATCAAAGCGATATGAACAAAAATATTGGTTAAAACTGTTATTTTTGAAATTAAAATAAAAAATGAAATATTCTTTAATGTGAAAACTGCGCTTGTTTTTTGATGTATAAATACTTAATTCTCTCTTGAACTTTGGGTATCAAGTTAGGGAAGGGTGATTTTGCATCATCTTCCAAAGTTTGTGAAACCCTCAGTGCAGCCTATGCACATGAACTCAAAAGTAGCACGGAATTTTATGTATTTATTTATGTTTATTTTACTAATGTGACATGCCACCCTTCCCATAAGAAGTGCTTCACAGATTAAGAGGGAAAAGGCCTCTCTAGCTCAGCCTGTGGGAACGGGCCACCAGCCAGCTGTGAAGGCAGCAGCCAGCTCCTTTTCTTTGTCCCAGCAGCACACCCCAGAAAAGGGCCACCTCTGCCCATGGAGGCTTCCTCAGTGGCCCACCGCTTCCTCCTGCTGCTACTCACTGTCTGGGGCCCATTTCGCACTCCTTCATGTCCGAGTCCAATATACATCTGTGAATTGCAAAGAGTGTGTGTGATGAATGGAAGATATGAAATAAGGGCTGCTGCTGATCATTTCATGCCAGACACATAGAATGGCTGCTGCGCTATTCCCCACAAGTCTGAGGTGGCCAAGGTTCTTGCCCTAGCTGAACTTCTTCCTTTCCTGCTGGATGTGGGCTCTCCCTGGGCTGCTTGCCATATCCTAGGCTACAGGGACAAGCAGATAGGGTTAGGTTTTATATAGGAGCAGAAAGATTTTTGTTTTCATATTATATGAAGTAGGTAAGGTATTCATTGTGACCCTTTCTCAGTTGGAAAGCACCCTTTGTTTTGGCATGGCAAAGCCCAAACCGAACTTCTATAAAAGTTCTGTAATGCTTTCTTCAGGATGGTTTCGGAAGACTACATTCCTGCCTCTCTCAGAACTAAGCAATCAAGTTGAATAGGGCCCAGTAAGCTTCAGGATATGGATGTGCATCTCAGTTACTCTGTGGGTGTGAATTTCTGAAAATTAATGACTATAGTAGATAATTAAACACATTTTTGCACTTTTATGCAGACTCAGTCTTCTTCCACGGTTGCCGCAAAGACCCCTAGTATGAAGCCATCAGAAACAAAGGTATGTCTTCTGAAACAAAGGATAAGGCAATGTTCTACTTGCATTTGAACTTGCGTGTGAAAAGTTAATGATTTTTCTGACAGTGGCTAATATTATAAGTAATGGCTATGAATATTAAGTGATTTGCTTTCAAGGTGGTGGACTTTTTCATCTTTTATTATAAGACACCTGGCAGGTGAGGGATGGAGGAAAGGATTTCTAAAAATGAATCCACTGCATTACAGGCTCTGTCATCCAGAAAAGTGCTGTGCTCATGGAACCTCCCTCTGCCCAGGTGCCAATTTTGGGGGCTGTGCCCCCAAACATACAATAGCTCACACCTGTGAAGTTCATCCAGCTTAAATTTGGAAGTTCTAGGTCTGGAAGATGGTACATTATACCAAAACCCAGTTAGCTAATAGTTACATGTACTTATCGGACAGGATCTAAATTTAAGCTGGATGGATCAACTGCACAGGTGTGAGCTAGTGTAGTTCACCAGTTACATTCATAACTCTGTAGATGGACCTGGTGCAGAGCATATAACCAGAGGCATCTCAAATTATATATATGATAATTTCTCATTAACTGGCTGACTAGACAGTCATGAATAATGCTGTGATAAGGCAGGATAGTCATGACTTGTAAATTTATTTGTCATTCTAACTTTCCTAAAGCTAACTCTAAGCCAGAGTCTGAGAGAGACATTGCTATTCTCTTTACTTGTATCCATTTTTGTGTTGTTGGCATGCAAGTGGTTTGTATAAATAGACAAGGTAGTTGTTAATGAATGTATAGATTCAAGTAACATCTAGGTAGGGTGCAACTAATTCAAGTGTTAAGCACATTTTGAAAGCATTTAGAATTTCAGTAAGCAGAATGGAATAGTAATCTTGTCCTTCAGTAACTATGTGTACGTAAGTAGTTCATGTGAGTGCTCTGTAGAGGTTGCTTAATATAGGAGGGAATGGAGCAAATAAGTAATACTAATGGCTTTCCTTGCTCTATTAGAGGTGAGGGCTAGGTTAGGTTTACTTAGGACTTCCCGCTGAGGAGTTGGCTTACTAAAGAACAATAGTTTGGACTCAGGGTTCTTTTGTGTGCTTGCCATTCTCTATCCACAGTTGTTTATGGGTTCTTCAACTGACTGTGTAATCCTCTAGTCTTGCTACTGTGGCTAACCAAGTTTATAGAGCAGGGTATATGTGGCATTTAATAATGAAAGAGAAGGTACAACTTCTTTTGTGTTCATGCTATTGCACAATAACATCGTGCCACCTAGAAGTAGCAGAAAACCCGGAAAGGCCTGGTTCTCTTATAGTGCTTGGTTTTTCATTATGTGACAAAATCTAAAGTAGATACAGCTTTCTGTATCAGGGTTGGTATGTTAGGGAATAAATGGTTGAAAAATGATTTTTCATTGTTATAGCTTCCTTGATTGCTGCAAGTATATACTTCTATTGTTTCCTTGCTGGCACCTGTTTGCTCCAGTAATTGTTTTGCAAAAGTGACTCTCTTTGCATTAGAGTGGAAGAGGGTATTGCACGTGTGTGTAATGGTATGATGATAATTAACACCCTTGTAGCACTGTTTTTCAGCATGTATAGCCTGCTCCATTATGAGGGAATAAGATTTTTCCCCCACAGTTCAGGATCACTCAAGCAGATAACTGGCTGTGTGCCAAAGGTAGCTTTGAACTTTTCAATTAGTAGCCTCCTATGCCTTTAATTTCTTGCTTTTAAAATAAAATGAGGAAACTTAGCAAAGCAGCTTCTGATATACTATTCTAAACTATTCTAATTTAATCCACTGGATATACTTTATATAATTTCTGTATTTCCCATTAGCCAGAGATCTGTTCACCAACAGTTCATAGAAGAAAATGAAAACAGCATATATTTTTTCCAATGTGCAACATTTAAAAACAATTTTAACAAGTAAAAAACAATATTAGTAAAAACTAGACAAGTTGGAAACAGCTGACACAAATGTACAGTAAATGCCATGAAATGCTTGGGAAAAGGCAGAAGCTTTAACTTGGCACCAAATGGATGACAGAATTTGTACCAGGTGAGCCTCAGTGGGGAGATCATTTGATAAACAGGTGCCATCTCTGTAAAGTCTGCCTCCCTTGGTGCCACCCTCTGAGCCCCCCTCAGCGATAACACATGGAGGAAAGTGACAAATTAGCATAATGTCTGAGATTACTCCAGTTAGGAAAAAGTTCAGTTTTATTGCAGAATTGAGATCTGAGCACTACAAGAGAAGTGGTTCTTTTCCTGTTTTTTCCATTGTATAACCTCTAAGTGGCATTGTGATGTAGTGGAATAGCATAAATATACAATAGAAAGTAGTTCTGTCACAATTAAATGCTTTATCTTCCCTGCTCTAAAAAAAACTTGCCTAAAGTGCTGGTTAGACACAGAGGCAAAACTGGAGGGTTACGATGCTGTCTGCTATTTGTAGGCAGCCATGAGTGGGGAATGATAAATGCCTTGTGTAAAAAAGATGCTTGTATTTCTGCCACAGTTTTTATATGTTTGAATTTATACCCCACACTTATTTTAATGGCTCAGGGAAGGGTTTTTAATATTAAAATTAGTACATTTCTTTCATCAAAGGGCAAGTACTGCTATCGTGTTCTTAGATCTTTGCTGCCTATCCTCTGCTTCTTCTATCCTTCCATTCTTACCTCCAATTTTTTGTGTTGTTTACTGCTTACTTTTAAACTTCTTGCACAACTACATTAAGACTGACCTCTCATTTAGAATTACTTACACAATCCAAGGCTATAAAAACAACTAGTCTCTTCTACAACCTTTGCAGCAACAAATTTGTTGCCACAGTTCCAGGCGCTTGAGAAAGGGTGCTTTTTGTCTGGCTCTGAAGGCCAATAATTTCTGCTCTTCTTTTAGCTACTTGGCACAAGACATTTAAGACTGGATTTTACTGCCTAAGGAGTAAAATCTGTTATTGTGGTCAACTTTAAAAAAGGTCAAATTAATAGGAAAGAGAATGTGGATGCGAAGAAACTGGAAGGCTAGAAATCAAACTTTTCATATCTGTATAAACTTTAATGTTGTGTAAATCCAGATACATGCCCCTTTCTCTAAGGGTGCAATCCTAATCATGTTTGTGGGTATTTACTTCCTAGAAAATGTACATAGCATTGCATACTAAATAACTTATGCTACCGAAGCAGTATGTATTCATACTGCAGGAAAAGGCTATGTTTCCTCCCATCCCCCACATCCCAGTTAAAGTCACCAGCCAAGCCAGTCTGACTTAAAGAGAAACTTTTAGTACAGCTGTTAGACCAACTCCAATTCCAGGGACAAGCTTTACTTTTTTCCAATCAAAGGGTTCACTGTTTTTGCAACATAAAGAGTACAAAGCTGTGCAGCATTGGATATATGATTCATCAGTTTGTCCTGTCTCCTTTCTTTGCTTGGATGCGTGTATAACTCATGGAATCGTGGACTGAATTTGAAACTTGAGATAAGAACTGCAGAAATGAAAAGCAGGGAAGAATGTGGCTTATTAGAAGCCCTGTGAAATGGTATGTAGACACAGAACAGTTTCCCATCTTTACTGAGATGGTTGGAATTTCCAGCCAAAGAAGCTAGGAAGTCCTGCATTCTGCCTTTGTAGCAGCCATCCAGTTCCCTGTGGGAAGCCTGTAAGCAGGACAGCTCATGTTGCCCACTAAGTCCTATTGATAGGCACACTGCCTCTGATATTGAAGGTAATATGTAGCCCTAGAGGTTTGTAAAATAGGTAAGTTTGCAAGGTCATTAGTTCTGTTGTTTCCTCATTCTAATGCTTGTTAGGCCATGGCACAAAATAATAAGATAGATGGGACTTTCTTATATTTTAATGATACTTTGTAGCCTTGCTGTGTCAACACTTCCAAAATGCTGTTGTCAGTCATGATTTTTGTTTTGTTTCTGGGAAGCTTGATCCCTGTCAGGTCCTCTAAGAGATGTCCAAAAGATGCAAAAGAAGAGAGGTTTGGGAGGAGAGGGCAGGGAAAAGCCCTGCATGTCATTCAGTATCATTCTATATCCCTAGATCACAAAGTGCTTTTTATTTTAATAAGTAAAGCCCTTTTTTTTAGAAAACATGAATGAATTCATGCATGTATATAGCATTCAAATATGCCCCTGCCAATTCCTGTACCATGCATGATATGTCCTGACGAAGGAGGAACACATTTTGGTATGGTTGAGGATTATCTTAAATTTAACACTTTGTAACACAGAACATTTCTTTAGGAAACCTTTGAAAAGGAGAGGCTCTGTATTAACAATGTGTGCTTTAACCCCCTTCCCATTTTTAAACACACATCCCTTAAGCAATTTCTTTAAGCATCCTGAGTTTGTACTTCCACTACTAGGCTTCTTCAAGCCAGCAACAGACCACTGGATTGCAATCTCACAAAAGGAAAAAGAACAAGAAGCAGGTGATAAAGCCATTGGCTTTCGTGTGTCCGTGTTTCCAAATAACAGTCACATCAGCGGCATGTGCTCATTCATTACGTCAGAACTAATACACTCTGGTTTATGTCTGTCTTCAGCTGGGTATAATCACACTACAATAATTTGCATAGTGCACCATGCAGATAAACCTCCCATATGCAACTGTATTTGTATCCTCATTTTTGTGACATTTCTGAATTACTAGATAATGATTAAGCTACCTACATTTGGGTATTAAAGGATCATATGGAAATTGGTGTAGCAGATTTCTTTGGGCTGAAAGTTGTCAAACAAAAAACTTGGGGTTTTCCTGCTTTTGCATAGTGTTTGCTGGAAGTTTGTAGATCTTTAGAGACTTACAAAATGTGTGTGCCTGTGTGTTGATTTATCAAAGAAATGCTTTTGCTCAACTTTTAGAATACTTGGCTGATCTGTAGTACACTATATAGAGCTTAAACTGAAGTGAGCATTTTAACATTGTGTTGACTGGTGAGCAGAATCCTTAGTAATTAAGATGATTTAAAGCTACTTCTAAGCTCCAACCTGCCATCTGATTTGGAATGTCCCCTTCTTTTTTGCTTTTAATTCACTATTTAAATTGTTCGTTCACCCAATACTATACCCTAACATTTTTATTTCATTATTCCTTATTTGATGCTCATGTCCATTTTTGTGCTTTGCTTTCCTTCATTCTGCTGCCTTCTCAGTTGGTAAGCAGCCTTGCTTGTGTGACACATAAGAGTTAAAGAGATCCTGAGTTGCTCGTAATTAAAAGAAGTCTTGCAGGAAGCCATGGAAATTGTAGTTTTTGGACTCATTATTTGCAATCTTAGCATCAGCACAGAAGACTACAATCCCAATCAGCAGTAGCTCACAGGAACTGATTCTGCTGCAGCCAATGAAAATAGTTTCATTTTTCTTCTGAGGGGAAGTTGTTGGAATGGTTCTGGAGAAACAGGACCATCCCATCCAGCGCTGGTGGTGCTTTGCTGTTTACTTTTTGTAAGCACTTTTAATGTTAAGTGAATCTTTGTAGTATTTCAAATTTAGTTTAATAATTATTTTATCCTTTAACATTGTTCATGTTGCAGGCAGCACAAAAATCAAAGACAGAGAGCGAAAAAGTGGTACAGTTAACCAAGGTAAAGTAATACAGTTTTTGTATTCTGCATGTAAATTAAATGCACGCACACGCACTACAGCCTTTTAATTTTAAATTCAGTTTGTTTCTATTTAATTAGCTGATTCAGTGTATTTATTTTACTGATCACAAATAATATGTTGCAGGCTTTATTATCTCCACAAGATTTATTTGTAATGCTAAGCAATGCATTTGAAAATAAAATTTAAATATTTAAGGCATGTCCATCAGTTATTCTATCCATCCTACAACAATACAGTAGCTATTAAAAAGAAAACTGTATCTTTACAAAGTCTTATAGCAGCTGCTTAAAGTTTTGCTCTTACTCTAACTAGTCCCACTTCCTTACACTTTTAAAGCAACACAGTTTAAAAGTAAGTTACACTGAAGTCACTGAGTCTTATACTCATGTCTTAGAGATATCCATTTGAGAATAATATATAGCAGTGTACATTCTTAGGAAAGGGATGGATTTAAATCTAGAGGAACAAGCAAACCTCACTTTGCACTCAAGTTTGTATGAGCAAAAACTTTCTTGAAAATATATTTAAATAAATGGATTTGTATTATCACCTTGATGTTCCGAGTATCATTAACTGCAGAATTGTGTAGCTACATGAGTGTTTCTGTATGGGGAATCTCAATTAGGAGTGACCTAAAAATGTCCTTCCTGGTTTGTAAACTAATGGGAGTGAAGCCACTATGGCCTTTGACCATTTTTAAAGCAGTTTTGGGGTTGCTCAGTGACCTGATTTGCACATACATATAATATTCAGGAACACGTTTTGAGGAAATCAGCCATGATGTTCAAGGGTTTGCCTATGTACCAGCAGTCACTAGTTACTACAGTTAATACTAGCAGGAGCAATCTATGACGTGACATTTGACTCTAAGCATTTTGAATTGGCCCACAGGTTGTTCTTAGTCTCTGGGGTTTTTTAACCCACAAATGACCCAAAGTGCCTTGGTTTTAGACATCACAAGAATAAACTACAAATGGGATATTTGTAGATTGTTGCTGTGAACCAGGAGGAGGTCATATGTGGTATATACTGTATCTCTGAAAATTAGGAGTTAATTAATTAACCCATGATTTGCTGATGAATAGCGCTGTTTTAGCAAATAGTCCCAATGAGTGCTAGCAATAACTGTGAGTCCTCCTATCTGCTGCAGTTCCTTTATCTACTTTGCAAGTAAAGGAAGTAATAGAAGAAAACACAGCGCTTGTCCTACTATCCCTTTTTCCTCTTGCAGAAGATAGGTGGAAGAAGGCTTTCTGAAAGTGGCCAGCTGGTGAACAGCAAGCATCAGATGATGCAGTCAGTTTGTGGTCCCAACCAAAAAACACCCAGGAAGTTCCTATTACAGGCAGGAAATGAGATGCACCAAGGCTTTTGCAATGATAAGAGAGGTCAAATGTGTCTCATTTCCGTGTCTCATTGTCATCCTGTTATTGATTCTTCTATGGAAAAAAGAAGATGGCTTAAAAGAGAGGAGAGGACAAAATCTCAGCTGATAGCCTTGTTGGTTGGTGGGCTGAGCTCATCTCCATTTCCCTTGCACTTTCACATTTGAATGCAGGCAATTGCCTACTTGTGCATCCCCGTTTCATTGTTAGCTGTTCTGGCAGGAAGTCTTAGGCATGTGATCTACATACAGTTTTCTGTATTTGAATAGTGTTGACTCTGATAATGTTCAGTGACAGTGAAAATGTTGATTACTATCCTGTCATGCTGATCAATTTGATCCACATTAAAATGTGAGAAATTTACGTAAATGTTTATATTGTTATCTGTATACACACAGCCAGATGATTCTCAGACAAAACATCCATCAGAAGAGAAGCAAAAAGACTCTGGAGGGGTAATTTTTATATATTATAGTGATAGTATGTATTTGCATTGAACAGAATTCTAAGATATTCTCTTCCTATATGTGTATAATACATGCATGTATGGATTCATTTTTGCAGGCAAAAGGGCCAAGCAAACCTATGGAAACAGAACCTAAACAACCAAGTACTGGAAAAGGCGTCTCTGGTCAAATTGACAAGTCAACAACACAGCTGACATCACTAGATGAAGGAAAGGTAAGACAGTCATGGAGAATCCTTTGGGGGGGGGGGGGAGAAAGAAACTCTTACATGGCACTACCAAGTTTTGGTGTGGAGAACTTGGACCCGAAGGTTGAGAGAGACAAATAGACTGAAATGTAACAGTAATTGGATTAGTGCAAAAGCTTGATGCCAGTTTGCTAACCACAGGCCCATCGGAGGCCCACTGTAACATACTTGCTGGGCATCTCCAGAAGAAAATCTCTTTCATCTGTCAGGACTTGAACTCCAGTGTTACAGCAGTTGAATCTGGTGAGGTTCCCAGAGCACAATCTGGTCCAGTTGTATTGGACCAGCTTGTATCCTTGCTCCTCTTGGTTAACAGAAAACAGCAGAGAGAGACCAGCAGCTTTGAGAGAGTGTGTGGTCCCATCCTGCCTGAAAGAGGCACTGGTGAGGCCACTCCTTAAGAAACCCTTTCTGAACCCAGGAGATCATAACAACTTCAGGCTGGTGGCAAATGCTCTGTTCCTAGGCAATGTTCTTGAATGGGTAGTGGCTAACCAGCTCCAGGCATTCTGAATCCATTTCACTCAGAATTCAGGCCTGGTCTGGGGCAGAAACTGCTTTGATCACCCTTTGTTGAGAGAGCGACGAGGAGTGTCCCCCTGTTGATACTCCTATATCTCTCAGCAGTTTGCAATACCATCAACCATGGTATCTTTCTGGGGCAACTGTAGGCAGTACTGCATTGCAATGTTCTGCTCCTATTTAAATGGCCAGATGCAGAGAGTGGTGCTTGAGGAATACTGTCCAGTCCCGTGGATATTCCAGTATGGGTTTCCTCAGGGGTCAGTCTTATGCCCCATGCTATTTAACATCTACATGAAACTGTTGTGTGGGGTCATCCAGAATTTTGGAGTGTTCTGTCTTCAGTACACTGATGACATGCAGCGCTAGTTCTCCTTTACCTCCTCATCAGGTGAGGCTGTGGAAGAAGTGTATGTAGAAGTGTGATAATGGACTGGATGAGGGCTAATAAATGGATGCTCAACCCAGATCAGACTGAGATTCTTTTGGTGGGTAGTCCCTCTGAGCAGGTGGAGGATTTTCACCTTGTTCTGGGTGGGGGTGAACTCCCCCTAAAGGAGCAGGTTCATAGCTTGGGGATGCTTCTCGACCCATTTTTGTCATTTGAAGTGGCTTCAGTGGCACAGAGTACCTTCTACAAGCTTTGGCTGGTGGCCCATCTGCATCCCTGGCTGGATAGGTATATCCTCTTTCAGTAATCTACATTCTCCAAATTAAATTACTGCAATGCACTCTACATTAGCCTGCCCTTGAAGACTGTTTGGAACTTGCAGTTGGTGCAGAATGCATCAGCCTAATTATTAAATGGGACCAGGAGGTCAAAATGTAGAAGACCAGTTCTGAGCCACCTGCATTGGCTGCCTGCATGCTTCTGGTCCCAATTTAAGATGCTGGTCTTAAACTATAAAGTTCTACACAGCTTGGAACTGCAATACCTGTTGGAGTGCCTCTTTCAACCTCAGGCTACCCAAACCCTGCAATCTTCATCTGGAAATACAGGCTATTTTAATCAGTGTTTAACTTGTGATAGCTTGGGCTGTCCTAAATAATACAACCAACATTTTCATATGGGCCTCTAATTTTTCTCTTCAGGCAAAAACTGACAAGAAACCATCGGCTGCCAAGGCAGCAGTTGCAGCTGCTGGCGCAGCTGGAGCAGTTGCAGCTGCTGGCTTGACTGCTCCATCTGCAGAGGTAAGTGTAGTATTCCTGTTCATTAGGTGCACATGCAATCACTTGCTACCTCTCAGAAATGTATTCCTCTTTTCAGATTAAAGAAAATAAATCTGCAACCACAACTCCTGCTGCAGATACTCAACCAGCTCAAAAAGTATGTAACATTTTACTCACTTTCTAGTTACAGCATGAACCATACACAATTGTCCACTATTAAATCAATATTTTTTTTCTAAATAGTAATGATGCAGCATGTTTCTTTTTATATTCTGATATATGTGTGCGTACAATTGGCCTGTTTTGAGCCTCATCAGAGGAATTTATATCTGTATCCTCTGATAAAGAATAGGTGGAAAGATTGTACCTAAGATCACTACATACCTTTTTCTAACTTTCCTTGCCTTTGGTGGGAGAATATTCAAAGGGTAGTATATATTTTTGTTGTGCCCATCAAGCCTAAAATTAAGCTCACACATTGCAGTTCTGTTTTGTACAGTGATGATCACTGACTAGATTAAAGGACTAGACTGAGTGCTGCTTACAGCCTTACAGCTTTCAATTGCGAATAAAGCTGAAAATGGCGCACAGCTCCTGCACTGCTTTTGGCTTGACATGCTTGGGTCTATAAACAAACCAAGCTGGTCTGCCTAGGACCTGGCTTGCTGATTTTGGTCCTTTATTTGCGGTGCTTTGGAGAGGGAGGAAAGGAAGCTAAGATGCTGCTGGGGAATGTTGTGTATCCTTCTTCCCTCCCTATCTCTGAAGTCACTCTTGCAACCTTCAAGACACAACCAGTGTGGTTCTTTTAAGCTGTGTGGTGGGTAGAAGGCACTCAGTGAGTGCAGATACTCTGCTATGAGGTCAGAGCTTGTTTGCGATAATCTAGAAATTGTCTAGGGGACAGAGAATTGTGCCATTAATGTTTAAGTATAGTTTTATTGCCTATTTTAACATTTCCTGATGGTATTGTTTTATTTTGATTTATTGTCCATTACCTTCATGCCCTCTGTGAAAAGTATAATAATATATTTAAATTAAATAATAAATTAAAACCAGCATCTTATTGCATTATCTTTGACGTTGCAGGTCTGTACAGTTTCACTTTTTTTACATGCCTTCCTTTCATTCCTGGGAGTTTTCTTTTGAGCCTGTTTTTTTTTTTTTTGTCTTGTTTGTGAAGGGCCTGCAACCTACCTATAACATTAGGCACCCATATGGATGTTAAAGCAAGAGCATTCAAATATTTAGCGTGTATGATCTGTGAAGATAAGAGCAGAACATAAATTATGAAGTGCATAGATTTTCATTAAGTAATCGGGAATAATATACTACATTTTAAAAAACACATCTGTTTTGTATATCTTATAAATTGTAAAAAAAACCCTGTGTTTCTAGTCTGACATGGATGCTGCCTTAGATGATTTAATAGACACACTTGGAAGTGCTGAAGAACAACCAACTGCTCCTGCATATACTGGACCAGAAGTTTTGGTATGGAATTCCTTATACAGCGCTGAGAAACCGTATTTGTTAGGCCAACATTTGTGAGCTCCTTTGTCTATAATAGTGACTGTTCTGTTATATGAATTTTAACATAAGTTGCTGTATTCAGGGGTGTCCTTCTGCCATTGGAACAGACGAGCACTGGCAGATTAAATCTCTTCCTCCTCCTCCTCCTCCTCGCTTGTGAGCAAGACCCAATTTGCTCATTCATATGCCTAATACTTCCCTTGGGTTGTATTCACAGACTACTTAATCCTTGGGTACTATTCCCAGGCCTCCTCTCATACCTGGCCTGGTCTTGAAAAATGAGTGGAATGAATGTTGCATAACTGGCAACCTTCTTTCATGCAGGTGCAACAGTACAAAGACTGCTACAGACAGATTCCCACCCCCAAAGGGATTACACACACGTCCCTATTTAACCAACACGGCATGTGAAGTTGTGGCACATGGGAGACATGTGCAGCTACCAGTTTGCATATCCAAACCCCACTTAGTGTCATGTGCACACAGCCACTGTTTGTTATGATCGCATACTCTTAGAACAGACCGTGGATTATGGAACGGTTGTCTAACCCTCATTTAATCTACATTGCCTGGATTTGCATGACCCAAGTGGCACCCTTATGCACTGTCGCTCATTGTAAATGGATTAACCTACCATGAGCCATGCTGTTTCATACAAAGCAGGTCAATGAGTTGTGGTGTTCCTGATTTCCTTTTCCTGAACACTCACCGTATGCTTTACAATGCTCAGAAATTTGTAGACTCTGCCTCCACTTTTTCTAGTGGCAGTCTCTTTTTTTAGTGACTATTCCTTTGATTTACATTTTCATTGCCTGACCTTATCCTAGGAAAGTAGGCTGGCCTGGAATTGAGTGCAAATGCATCTTTAATGACCAAATGGTCTTGTAAATAGCATGGCAGGGCTGAGAAAAGATGACATCCGTTTCTAAATTTAGATGGTCAAAAAAGAGTTCAAGTGACAATCTATATTTCAAGCCCAGTTTATGGGTAGAATAAAGGTAACATAATTCCCAGCATCTGGAAAAAAGAGATTGCCAGGTCTGATTCAGACAATAATCCAAATTAGTTTTAGACTGATGAGCACAAACAACTTAGATGAGCCTCAGAGTACACATTTCTTCTCCATTCCTAAGTGGGAGAAAGGAAGAGGGAGCTTTGGCTTTCTCTGTAGAATTAATGGCATTTCTTTGCTGCTTACAAGCTTGTAACTGTTTGTTATAGACAAATGAGATATGTCATTGTATTCTTTTTCACTTTTAATGTGCAGAGCAAACACCATCACCTGAAGGCATGAGTAGTAGGTATCAGGATTGTAGCAGGTGTTGAGAGGGAATGTAGCTTTTTCCTTCTGTCCTGTGTTCCTGTGCAAGGAGCAGCTTTGGGAGAATGTTTCTCATTGGCACCAATGTAGGATTTTCAGATTTTAGTTTTTCTCCCAATCTAAATAGTATTTCAGAGTAGTAATTTTACTACAGATTATTAGTAGTAAAAAATAATAGTATTTTTCTTTTTCTGAGCCTGCTCCGATCTTGCTAATAATCAAGCATTGTACATTAAATGCAAATGTACTTGTAATGTCTAGGCTAGCTCAGCTAGATAAATTAAGCCCAGCAGCTAGAACAAACCATGAATTCCTGGCTTAACACAGCAGAAGAAATTGAGGTTCATTCTAAAGTGACAGCTTCCTGTCTCCTCTTCCTTTATACCAAGCAGAACAGTAGGAAGGGGAATGTATGAGTTCAAGGCTCATGCAGGATTTTTCCTAATCATTTAAACCATGGCTCAGTTGACTAAACTGTGGAACTAACTCTGCTACATCATTTTGAAACCCAGTTTGTACTTGATTCTTGAATGATTTTTTAAATTATTTGTTTTATAACAGAGGTACAGAGTCTTTTGGGGCCTGAGGGTCCCATGCGTTGAGGGGTGGGGGCTTCACCTCATACTGCTCCTGGTACATGTTCATTCCTCCCATGCGTTGAGGAGTGAGGGAGTGAAGAGCCAGTGATATTAATACTGCTTACTTTTTTGTTGATATCAGTGGCAGGAAAAGAGATACATGCATGAGGATCTCTTGGGGAGGGAATGGCAGGAGTGATTCAGCAGCAGGGGCCCCATGGAGGGCTTGCAGGTAAGGCTTTGGAGGGGCAGCATATGGCCCTTTGGCTGCTGGTCATGCACCCTTGTTTTAAAGCAACTGATAAGCTTATGTGATGAACATGTTTGGACAGGAAATATCCTAACATTCCCAGCATTTTCCAGTCAGCATTGTAGGACTTTCTTCTTTTAAAAAATACATAGGATTGCACCCTTAAATGATGTTGAATTTCTTTCTTTTTTTAGTACATCAAAATTTTATATTAATGAATTATAATATTAACTTATGATAACTTATAATAACTTATTATAATGAGTTATAATAACTTATTATAATGAGTTATAATAACTTATTATAAATAAGTTTTTTATTCCAAGATTCAAATGACATCTTCTTTCCTTAATGCAGGACCCAATGTCTTCCTTATATATAGAAGAGCTGGGAAAAAGAGAGAGCACAATTCCCCCAGAGTACAGAAAACTATTGGAGGTAAGTAATTGGCCCAAATTCTTTTTTCTTAGCTGCAAATTGGGAGTTGCAGTAATCACAAAACTATTTCTCTTTTTCAGAGTAAAGGAGATGGCAAAGTTGTTCCCCCACCAGTGCCAGTGGGAGAATTTCAGGTACAGTTATTAGTACAAAGAATGAAAATCAAAATTATTGTTGTTTCAGAGTTCCGTTTACTGGTGCTTTATAGATTTTTCATTGCAATCAGTAGGGTAGATCCAAACCAGATTTGCCATGACTTAGTCTCTTTGAAACCAACAGGACAAGCTTTGCTAAGACTAGGGTTCAGATGAACTGTATTGAGAATTGTATTATGGGCTTTTTGTGGGCTGCCACTTGTGCTCAGCCTGGTCTTTCAAAGGAAGTTGAACTTAGAAGAAGTCTGCAAATACTCATGGAGCCCTGGTTGCACAACCAGCAGCCTTCTTCCCCAACAACTCCAACAGCTAGCATGAAATAGAAATGTTGCTTGCACAGTTGTCATGGGCAGTCTGTGTTCTTGGCAAGCCCCTTGCAAGTAGGGAATTCATGTAGAACTCTTAGGAGATGGAGTTCTTTATAGACAACAGAGAAACACACTGACTTTAGAACATATGTGCATTAGCATATGCAAGTTTGTGTGTGTGTTTGTTTTGTTTTGTTGTCCTGTGGGCCTGATCCCCAGATCTTTTTGGTATCTAGCATTGCCCTGGCTCAAGAACATGAAGCTACCCATGTGGGAAAAATGAGTTTCACACTAGTGTTGCCATGGCCTGTTCTCCCCTTCTTCTGCTTCTTTCCAGTGGAAGTGGCAGAGAAGGACTGGAAGAGTAAGCCCTGTGGTCCACTACCTTTTGCAGCATTAGCCGCAGAGTTGTTAAAGCATAAGGTGGTGTCTTCAGATCAGGAGCTGGCAACCTTAAGCATAGCTCTGCATGAGTAAATGTGCAATTGATCAGTGCCCACAAATTAAGCTGCTGCTGGGCAACCAGTATCACTGTAACCCAGTTTGTGTTTTTATTTAGCCAACAATGACAGATGATGACCTTGCAGATGCTCTGTCATCTGGTTTTACTTGCAGTGTTGTATCATCTGCTGGAGAGAAGAACATCATGTCAAAAGAGGTATTCTTTTTGCTGCCTTGTAAAGAAATTCCTATTAGGTTTAAAATATACATCTGGAAGAATTTTTTTTTAAAAACTGTCTTGCAGTTTCTGCCAGCATCCTAATGTGTTTAATTTTTTTACGTTATAAAAGAAATCTGCAAAAGAAGGTGAACTTCTGCAAGCTGAATCTACAACTTTGGTCAGAGGCTCAGCTCCTCCGAAGGAGAAAAAACCCAAACTGGAAGAGGTATAAATGTTTCTCTTCTTTGTTATGTAGTCTGATTGTTCAAATTAAGCACATGTCTTAAAATAGCATTATAGTGTTGCATGCTCCACATTTTTTATATACAAGATCCTCTGTACTTCACAGAGACCTAGGTTGCATGGTTGACAAATTGTGGACTGCTGAAAAGGGAGTGAGTGACTGGTTCCCCTGCATAGTTCACTCCCACTGAGCTAAGCAAACCTAGTCCCTTGGTTGATGCCCAAACCCAACATTTTGGCTTGTTGGCATAATGAATAATTCAGAGCTTGAATAGAGTTTGGATGGAGCTTAACTTCCTTTGAGGTCACACAAAACTTTCTAAAGAAGTGTGATAGTTTGGATTCAACATAGATGGGCTGCTTAAATAAAGGTATGATTTCATTTTCTCTCACAATCTGAGAAAATAAAAACTCACTTTTACCTCATGCAGTTTATGTGCTTCACATGGCCTCTGTTTTTGCTTTCTGCTTGGTTTTCATTGTGATACAACCTTTGCTGCCTAATGAGAATGTCTAAGGAAGTCTGAATATAACAGTACATTTAGAATACTATATATGCTTGATATCTACAGATGTGGAAGAATGTTTGGTAACATTAATTTGTGGCTGGAAATAACAAACCTGTCATTGATGTAGGGTTGCAATAGTGATTCTTCATTGTGGCTTCTGTGCATCACACATATGGGTTGCTGCGCCTGCGCAGTGCCTAGGCCGGAAGCTTAGAAAGCTAACGGTTTTTGGCGGGAAAACTCCACTCCCCTCCCCCTTTGTGGTATAAATAGAGCGGAGTGTCTGCCATTTTGCTCAGTCTTTGCGACCGCCGTTCGATGTGCCTCGTGCCTGTTCGTCTCTCGCTATAGATCTGTGCCTCTTCGTTGTTTTTTCTCAAAAAGTTTAAACTTCTCTTACTCCAAGTTTGTTCTTCTCAGTGATTCTGTCCGTTTTCTTCTTGAATTCTTTCTCTCTATATTGAAAAAAACAAAAAACAAAAATATTATCTTACCCTCTTTTCTTCATTTTTCCGCAATGGCGCAGTGGGCGGCATTCTGCAAATGTATTGAATGTGGATCTAAAATGTCGCTGGCCGAGCCACATGATCTATGCCTCCTCTGCCTCGGCGAGGGGCATAGGACAGACAAGTGCGGTCATTGCTTGGCATTTACCAAGCAGGCATGGAAAAATAGGGAGAATCATCTCAGAAAGCTCCTATGGGATCAGGCATTAATGCAGTCCGACCAACTGCTCCTACAGCCTGCTTCCTCTTCGTCCACGCCTCCTCAGCGCTCCTCCTCCACCGTGAGCACTCCGGCGAAGCGTCCTTCCTCGACCTCTGCTGACCCTCCTCAGCGTCCTTTGGACGAGGGCGCCGCTTCTATGGGGGCCCAGTTGCTGCCTTCTCCCCCGACTAAGAAACGGGAGAAGCGCAAGCATACCAGTCTGGATAAAACTTCCACCCATAAGAAGTTGAGGAAGGAAAAGATGGATAAGCACGCTCGCAAGAGCAAGAAACCTGACCGCCCAAAACAACGAGACTCAGGTTCATCGGGCTTCTCAGTACCAACAGCAGCCACGGTACCGACCCCTTCGGGACCTGCCCTGCAACTCATTATGCAGGTGACACCACCGGGATCCCCCAGACCAACCACTCGGCCTGAGAGCGTGCCTTCCCAGCAACAGGAGGAACCACTTCGGGAGTCCATCTCTGATGGCGAAATCAGAGACTCCCCACCGAGGGAACGCTCACCAACACCCATGCCACCGACTGAATCTCATGTGGCCTCACCATTACCTCCTAGAGGTCGCAGCCGTTCATCCGAGCGTCGAGATGAAAGGTGGTTGATTCCAGGATTCATGAATCACGCCTAACCGCACGCCGCATGGAGCTCCCGCAAAAACATAAGTGGCAGAATCAACCATATTATCCACGCCAGCAAAACTACCCTCGAACCCAACAGTACCAACAACGGCAGCGTCGGAGGCAGCAAGCACAACAGCATTTTTCCCAAGGCTGTAGGCGATTCGATACCGATAAACACCCACGTTGACGGCTTGCACGAACCATCCTCTCTATTCCAGCACCACCTTCCCTTCTCCCTTTTGGGGACCGGCTCCAGGGCCGACTCCCCATTTGGGAGTCCATTACATCTGATAGGTGGGTGTTATCTATCATCTCGTTTGGATATAGGTTAGAATTCGATGTTATCCCTCCTTCGAGCCCGATTTGCTTCACACCTTCTTCATCGGTGCTACGCGATGAAGTCTCACAGCTACTTCTCAAGGGAGCGATTCGAAAATTGTCCTGCTCGGAAGGATTGCATGGATTCTATTCCAGATACTTTACAGTCCCGAAAAGGGACGGTGGTCTCTGTCTGATCCTGGATTTACAAACTCTTAACAAGTACATCAAACCAAGGAAATTCCGGATGACCACTTTACAGAACATTCTTCTGTTATTGAAAAGAGAGGATTGGTTCGCCTCACTGGATTTGAAGGATGCTTATTTTCATATTTCCATACATCCTTCACACAGATGCTTTCTACGTTTTACTGTCGGATCTGACCTGTTTGAGTTTAACGTCCTACCCTTTGGCTTGGCCACAACCCCTTGAGTCTTTACAAAGTGTATGGCACCGGTATGCGCACACTTGCGGACTTGCGGAGTACAGGTTTACCCATACTTAGACGACTGGCTGATTGTCTCGCAATCCGAACAAGCTCTCTTGTCTGATAGAGAAATGACCTGCGCTTTGCTCGATGCTCTCAGCCTCTGCATTAACCGTGACAAATCGACCCTTATTCCCACGCAGGTCATCAATTTCATCGGGGCATGATTCGACTCAACACAGGAAAAAGCTTTCCTCCCACCGAAACATCAGAATGCTTTATGCAGCCATATTCATCGGATTCGATTACACGGAATGGTTCCAGCCTTGTCCATTCAGAGACTACTGGGGCATTTGGCTGCTGCTATTGCCATTGTCCCGTATGCCAGGTTACGTATGCGACCCATTCAACTGTTCTTCAACGCTGTTTTTCAACCGCAACAAGATCCTGCCACCAAGCAGATTCGGATCCCGCATGCAGTCCTTCACACTTTAACGTGGTGGACCATCACAGACAACCTGTCGATCAGCACCCTGTTTCGACCACCTCAGCCAACAATGACTCTGTACACCGACACATCCCTCCTGGGATGGGGTGCGGCATGTTCGGGACTTCGGGTCCAAGGTACTTGGAACCAACGAGAGACGAGGAAACACATCAACTTCCTGGAACTTCTGGTGATTTTCAATGCCCTCAAGGCTTTCGAGACTGTTATGCTGTCAAATTGTCCAAATTGCATCAGACAATATAGCGGCAGTTTTCTACATCAACAAGCAGGGGGCACAAAATCTCCAGCCTTAGTACGTCTATCGATGGACATTTGGGACTGGTGCATACTGAGGAACATCACGCTTATGGCGGTTCACCTGGCTGGAACCGACAATGTCGAAGCAGATACATTAAGCAGACAGATGTCGACAACCCACGAATGGGAGTTGGACAAGCAACTTTGCGAGGGACTCTTCCACCTGTGGGGTTATCTGGATGTGGACCTGTTCGCCACGCAACAGAACAGCCTGTGTGCCCTTTACTGTTCCAGAGCGGGCATCAGGCTGGGATCGATGGGAGATGCTCTCATGGTCCCTTGGAGCAACATGACTTTTTATGCGTTTCCTCCGATCCCACTTCTGACGAGAGTGGTAACAAAAATAGCCCAGGACAGGGCCACGGGGATACTAGTGACTCCGTGGTGGCCGGTGGCCGAGAAAACCATGGTTTACCACTCTCTTGCTGCTGTCCAGAAGAACATTCCTTCATCTACCAACTCTCCCGCACTTGTTAACACAACAAGGAGGAGCGATCCGCCATCCGGATATATTCTCTCTGAAGCTGACGGCATGGCGAATCACCTGATTCATGTCACCGAGTTGGTACCGGGGACACCTCGTGCTACGGGTGACCTCACTCAACACACGGTATACGCAGCCCCGACTTCAAATTCAACAGCGAATATCACGATACCAATGCCTACCGACAGAGAAATTCAGGCGATTATCGAATCTGCATTAAGACCATCCACTCGTCGTTCCTATACGGCTAAATGGAGAAGATTCTCCTCTTTTGCAGAGTACCATTCGTTCTCTCCTGCAATGGCTTCTGTCACCAATATCTTGAAATTTCTTTTACATTTGCATCATGAGGGACTTAAACTGTCATCCATCAAAGTTTATGCAGCCGCTATATCCCATTATCGTGGCACTATACACAGGTTATCAGTCTTCTCACAACCGCTGGTTCGGCGTTTCATTAAGGGGCTACCAAATTTACATCCATCTATTTGCCTTGCCATGCCGACGTGGAGTCTTTCTGTAGTACTCCAAGTGCTTACCAAACCACCGTTCGAGCCTTTAGCTACTGCGGACTTAACGCCTGGTGTCACGGAAAACTGCCTTTCTAGTAGCGGTTACATCAGCACGAAGAGCTAGCGAGCTTTGTGCTCTCCGCATAGATCCACCATTTCTGAACTTCCATAAGGAAAAAGTTGTCCTTCGGATGGATTTCTCCTTTTTACCCAAGGTGGCCACATCGTTCCACCTGAATCAGGATATCGTTCTACTGGCTTTCTTTCCATCGCTGTCGACCCCGATAGAACGTGCTTTACACACGCTTAATGTTCGCCGCTGCTTGGCCTTTTACAGATCCCACACTGAATCTTTTCGTACTACTAATAGACTTTTTGTTAAATACTCTGAGCAAAAAAAGGGATCACCGATATCATCTCAGAGACTCTCTAATTGGATCACCCAGACTATTGTCCTGACTTATCAGCTATCGAAAATAGACTTACCTGTCTCTCCAACTGGCCATTCTACACGAGCAGTAGCGATCTCGTCCACTTTTGCCACGGGGGTTCCGTTGCAAGACATCTGCAGAGCTGCGATCTGGGCTGGTCCATGTACTTTCGCCAAGCATTATTGGCTTGATGTACATGCCAGACGGGATTGCTCTTTTGGTAGAGCTGTTCTCTCATCTGTTCTTCAATGATGACACCTCCCTCTGCCGAGTCTGGTAAGCTTGTGAATCACCCATATGTGTGATGCACAGAGGCCACGACGAAAAGCAGGTTGCTTACCTGTAACTGATGTTCTTCGAGTGGCCATCTGTGCATTCACACAACCCACCCGCCGGCCCCACTCGGTGTCGGTGAGTGGATATCGTGTTTTTTCTGGGTAGCATACTATAATTTGCATCGGTACCATTTGGATTATGTCTCTGGGTGGTTATTTTTTTTTCCAGTACCGAAATATTAATGGCATCGGTACCGGGAGGTTATATCGCTGACTAGAGATTGTTCTCGGTACCGTACTATAATTCACATCGGTACCGTGGGAATATAATGGTGTCTTATCATTACTTTATTTTTAACCTCTAGAGGGCGAACGTGCGGTCTTCAAGACTGAGCAAAATGGCGGACACTCCGCTCTATTTATACCACAAAGGGGAAGGGGAGCGGAATTTTCCCACCAAAAACAGTTAGCTTTCTAATCTTCCAGCCTAGGCACTGCGCAGGCGCAGCAACCCATATGTGTGAATGCACAGATGGCCACTCGAAGAACATCAGTTACAGGTAAGCAACCTGCTTTTCCCCCACCTCCAAATTCATGCTTTGTTTAGATAAGTGGGGCTTTTAATTTTAGTGGGGCTTTTAATATTTTGTCATGTATTCCTGAAACCATGTTTTGTTGGACTCAGTCCAAGTTTTAAAATGTAGGGTGACTCTGAATGCACAGTTAATAAAATGCACAAGTGTTTTGTCATTATGGCCTGGACCACAAAGAACACATAGCTCAAGCTAGCTTGACATTTGTTTGCTGTGGCTTTACCTGGCCATGAGCTATCTTGGCTGGGTACAGACTTCACAACAAATGTATGAGGGTGGGTGGCAAGAAATTTCTTGTTTTCTTTTTATTTTGTAAACCACTTTGAGATTTGTTTTACACAAGAATTGATGCAAATTGCTAAAAAAAACAAACCACCCCACATTTTTAGGTACCTTGTCTGGATTACGGTATGTAACAACTGCTCTTACTTAGAGTCATATTTTATCAGTGTGATGCCACTGCCTCAGTCCTAATGATCTAAGTGTGCATGTATATATCATGAGGCACCTGCTATTTTTAAAATATGTAATTATATGATTTCACATACAGGCAGCAATTAGTGACAGTGCCCTTGAGGCCCTCGTGGATACCCTTGGCATGCCAGAACCAGAACCTGAAGTAGATCTAAGCTCCATTGTAGAAGTTGAAGAGGTAGTATTTATATTGCACAAAATCTGAAACCATCAAGGGAATACTGCTTTTCTTTTTTGCCTATTGCTAAGCAGAATCTTCTAAGAGCATTGTGAATCCTGACTTCAGTAGGATGTGTAGCCTGAAATGCAGTGTGCTTTTACAGAGTAGAAATGTGTGAATGACTGAGAATATTCTTGCTAAGAAGCAGATTTTGAGAATGACTTCTTATAAAACACTTAATGGCTGCACTCTTGTGTACACATAATTAAGAGAAAGCCCCATTGAACACAGCACGACTTCTAGCTTATTAAATCTGAACAGGATTGGGTCACTATGAAAAGTTTATAAATAATAAATCATTCTAGCATTAGAAGTCGTAATACATGGTTGATAGATTCTGTGAGCCTAATCTCACTAAAGTCTAAGGATTTCTAATTTTATTTCTTTTTACTGCCAAATGACCAGAGTTGATTTCACCATAAGCCTTGAAAGCACATGCTCATAAATTTACCATTAATGGGACTGACAGCTTCCAGACCTTGGCTTCAATTCTTCTATAGCAAAAGCAGAATAAAAATATTTTCAGAAAGTACCCAATGCATTCTAGGCTTTATTAACTCATTTTTCAAGGGCTTCCTTTTATGCATCCTTCAAAAGAAATGTCATCTAAGTATATTCCATCTTTCCACCAAAATATTCTTGAAGAAAGAGCTGACAGAACTAGAAACCCGTTGGGCCATTTCGGATATAAAAGTATTCCTTTATTCCTTTCCTTTAAAGATTCAGGTCAGAATTCTATTGCCTTCTGACATCATCTGGAGATTGATAGGATTCTTTGGAGTTCCAGCAGTAAGGTGCAGAACCTCAAAGAGAATCTGAAGGCAGAGAACAACTTAAAATGTCAAGATACCTGCCCCCCCCCCCATGCCCCTCTCAGCTGGCGCAGAAATGAGTATGCGGGCTCCCTCTCCAAGAGTGCAAATGTACCTTGGAGAAGGGAAGGGGGACACAACAGGGAGTGGAAAGGGAAGGGGGGCTGTGGTCTCCAAACCCTAATTCCTATCAACACCCCAGACTCCCTCCCTTGCTCTTCCTTGTGGTTTGGCTAGATTAAGGTGGCATCAGAGATAAAATGTAAGGTGGCTGCTGTTGCACCTCGCTCCAGCCATTGGATGTACGTGGCCTCTGAGCTATAGGAGGCTTCTGTGCATTGAGGGTGGGAGCCATTGGATCACACCCTTATTTTCTTTTGTTGCTTTCTTGCTTCTGTGCTATGAATGCCCTTTTAGTTGGTTAATATGAGATCTAATTTTGATGGGATATAGATTCAGAAATGATGAATTGGATAGAGATCAAAGCAGGAAGTAAAGCAAGAAGATACCAGATATGGGGGGGATCAGGGAGGAAGGTTCAGGGTGCATAGACAAGCTTGGTTCTAATATATCCTGCAGCAGCTCTCATGGACAGAGACAGTTGAATCTTTGTCTTAGATCTCTGTTACAAAAGATCCAGCAAGGCATGTTTTCGTTAATACATTGTGATTCTCTTTATTCAGCCAAAGGCCAAAGAAAGAAAGGAGAAGAAAGCGGGTGAACGTGATGATACAATTCCTCCAGAGTACAGATTAAAACCAGTCTTGGTAATTTTCTAATAAGTTTGCTATAAGTTTGTCTCCCCGCTCCCCACATCTTAGGAAATTAAATGAAATTAAATTGGGTGTATTTCATATCTTAAGAGTGTTCTGCCATGCTGGGTGTCCATAAATTTTGCCATACTGGGCCCACCATAAGAGAGCTAATTAATACTGGGTTGCTTTGATGAGGGCAGTTCAGTCAGTGCTCACTCTTGACAAGGGAAGACATATCCAAGAGCAGCAAACCAGGATCAACTAGTTACACAAAAGAGGTTAAGGTACTTAGGATGAGAGAAGCCAAGAATGGGAAATTGCTTCTTTGATGCCTGTGCTGGCAAACAGCTGAGGAACAGGGACCCAAAACAACAGGAGAGAATGCATGACTACTTTCTCCTATACTCAGACCAGCATTGACAAGGGAGAGCAAGGGGGTAAGAGCCCCCCCACCCCTTGCAACTGTCTGTTTCTTTCCAAGGAGACAAAACCTTCCTTCTTTCTCAGAGCTGTGTGACACTAGAGTTCCCTCTTGGTTTTTTTTGATAATGTTTGCTGAGAGGAAACACTCATTCCAGGTTTGTATTGTTCCAGTGTGAGATTTTCTGAGGCCCAAACCACATGTTATCATAGAGATGAACAAACAGCACTGGCTTGCATTCCGCTGATGATGTGCCATTGAGGAAGATGGGTGATGTGACATCATGACACTTGCCTTTCACTGCCCCTCCATGTGACAGACAATGCATCTGCAGGACAAAAAAAAGACACCTTCATGTGTTTCTCCTTAACAGATTATTTGAACCTTTGAAAAATGTCTGGCAGGTCTCCAAACTCTTCTGTGATACTTTGAGATATATCTCAGTAGCTGGCCATTTCCACACTTGAAACACTCAGTTGTGATCATTTCTTGACCACTTTGGCAGTGTATTTTCAAAATGTAGGCAGGGAAATGTGAAACCAGAAGTAATCATTCTAGTAAATAGCTGCTGCTGCTTTTAGCCTGCTTCTGCTTTCAGCAATTAAGCCAGCATACTGAGCTATCCTAACATAGTTGGCATTACAAAAAGAAATAGATGGCAAAAGAAGAAGGGGACAGCAGAGGATGAGGTGGCTAGATGGAGTCACTGAGGCAGTGGATGTGGGCTTGGATGGACTCTGGGGGATGGTGGAGGACAGGAAGGCCTGGAGGAATGTTGTCCATGGGGTCACAATGGTCGGACACGACTTTGCGACTAACAACAACAACAAAAATACATGCAGTGGAGAAAATTGGAGAAAATCCATTGTGAAAAAACTTTCTGGGGTGTTACTCTAAATAGTGAATATATAGATTACAATAGGTCCAATGCAAGCTGCATAGTTAACAGTCATTGTATACTTTTAAATTTAGGATAAAGATGGGAAGCCTTTGTTGCCGAAACCTGAAGAAAAACCTAAGGTGATTATATATATATATATTTGGTTTACTCTCTATTTTTTGTATTGCAGGTAGGATGAATAATTATTTTCTGTAATTGAGTGACCCCCTTCCCTATGAAGCTTTTGGGGAAAGATAGTAAACTACAAAAGAAAACTTTCCTTAAGATGGATTTTGTAAGGCACAGTTCCTGTGTATATTTAAAGAGATAAAAATGGCCTACAACTCCCAGCATGCTCTAGCCAGCATACTCCATCTGCCTATGCATGTATGTGGTTGCATCCTTTGCAGCATTCTTGATTTCAGGTACCGCAGCAAACTGAGTGTTTGAATTTGGAAGTAGACTTCCTGTAGGGGCCTTTTGCCATTGTAGCATTGCAAATATGTATTACTCTATTACTGGAGTTTAGCCAATTGCCTTATCCCAGTGTTTGCCTTATAAATGGGATAGTTCTAACAGGGTTGAATCAAGTCAAGAGTTTGATCTTTGCAAACATTATATATTACCTGTATTTTTTTTTCCTGCTGCTCAACCACAAAAAAAAAAAAAAAAAGAAAAAGCTTCTGCTGGGGCTTATACTCAATTAGAAGAAAGATGCAAGTCCCTGGATGCAAGTTTACAGTCTAAAATAGAAATGACACACAAGGATAAAAAGAATAGGAAGGGAAGAAGTAGGCTTATCAGCAGGGTTGGTGGAGTGTCCTTTGCATCTCAGGGAAGGGGCTGGTCCTACCCAGAGCAGGCCCTGATGTTCCCTTTGCTGGCTCTGGTCTGCCTCTCTCTCCTCCTTATGTGTGTGCAGAGAGGGGCAAACCACATGGAGCAGCCTTGATGTTTTCCATGCTTGTTCCTGTGTAGTATGCTGCCAGCTTGTGCTCTGTCAGTTAACCTGTTGAAGGGGTATACCGAATCTGCAGAGGGAAGCAGGGCAGGGGTGAGTTTCCTTCCACACAGACGGGATCATTGCAGTGCTGACTGTGCTCTTTATGCAGATCCAGTGCTTTTACAGACAGGAACATACCTTTTTAGTGATGGTACCCTGACTCTGCAAGCAGCTTCCCAGAGAGGTTCGCCTGGCGCCTTTCGGTGCCAGACATAGACTTTTTTAACTTGCCCAACTTTTTAATAGTTAGAAAGTATTTTATTGCTACTGTGCCCTTGGTTTAATTTGAATTGTGGTTGTTGTGGGGTTTTATAGTGTGGTTTCTTGTGTCTTATTATTGTTATTTTATCATTGTAGCATTTATGCTAATTTTAAGATTATTGTTTTATTATGCACCCTGTTTTATATTTTTGTAAGCTACCCAAAGAGCCATTCTGGCTAATGGGCAGACTAGAAATGTAATAAATAATGAATAAATAAAATTCTGAGCAACTTAAGCAGAAATTCAGCTGTGTAGTATCTTTTTCTTTCCTCAAAGTTCCTTGTATCAGTTCTAAGTACTCATTGCTAAATGACATTGCCTTTTTTAAAAAAAATCAATGCTTTATTGTTTCTTTTCTTCTTTTCCTTGTCTTGCAGCCCCTTAGTGAGTCTGAGCTAGTTGATGAATTTTCAAAAGACTTTGTCTGTCCTACTCCTCCCACAGAAATCTCCAAACCATCTAAATCTGCTGATGAGCCTAAGGTGAGTTTCTTTTCTCTAGGAGGCCTATCTTAAAATCCTGAGTATCTTGTTGCATTGTACAAAGACAATTGAATGGGAAAGAAGACAATTAAAAATTCAAACATAGCCTTTCCAATCCTTTATGCTCCACCTAATACCTCTTGTGTACTTTATGGGAGGCAAGGGGTATACATGCTACCCGTATATGGTAAGATCATGCTAAGGCTGTTGGTGGTACTGGTGGGGTGAGCCCATAAAAGGGTTGCGTGTCTTGCAAATGTTCCAGTGGACCAAAGGGTCTGTGGGGTTGATGCGTATGCCAGACATAGATCAGGCCAGCATGGGGCCAACTGGGAACAGAGCTTCAGTCACTTTTGCTTTTGCTGGTGCCTAACCTCATAACATGCCTTGTTAATCCAAATGCATTTGGATAACTTTTTCCAGAAGCCCGCAGCTGCTGAGTCCAAGACTCCCAAAGAAACAGTGTCTTCCCCTCCCACAGTTCCCTCATTGCCGGCATTACAGCCATCAGAAGTGCCTACAGTGAGTAACTTAATTAGGATCAAATACTGAGCCCAGCACATTTGATGGGGACCAGCATATCTGACTACGGATGTGCGAGGAATTGCATGGGGCTGGCAATTCATTGGATTCCCTGGGCTTGGCTCCGCAGCTTCCAGTCTGGGTTGCCCAGGCCCAGGGTCCAAGTTCCTGATGAGTGCACCCAGCGCTCCTAGGGCACTTGCCAGGAATTGAGCCCCATGTGCTGTGCCAGAAGTGTCTACAGCAGCCAGAGCAGCTGCTCCTCACCTTGAAGAAGAGTGGTTGTGGAGGGGCTGCAACACAGGGCACCCACCAGCGAAGCAGCCCCAACTGGTAGCAGTGCCCACCTGCTCACCAGAGTGGCCATAAGTCTTCTTATACCAAAGAAGACTTATTCCTGCCTGCTCAGTTGTAGGGTGCATGCCAGGAAAGCAGCCTCCTGATGGCTGCACAGTCAAGACCTCTCTTCTGTGCCAGCTTCGACCATCTTTGGGGCTGCTGCTGCTGTCAACCTCTTGCAAAGCCTTGGCTATTGGGCAAAAGGGAAATGGAAGGACGGAAAGAAGGAGATGAGGAAAGTTGCCAGTTGTGCAGCTGGGGTTCTTCATGGACTTCCTTTTGGCTCAGCTGTCTTTGGAAGACTGGGAAGAGCATAAGAGGAAGCCTGTGAATACTTGGAGAGATAAGTTTTGACACGGTTTGTCCCATACTTTTCACCTGGCATAAAAATATGTATCCAAGTGGGAAATGGGAAACTGACCTGATTCTAATCTCACTTCCTAGAAGTAATATGTTGCCTTGAGTCTAATCGTGAGGATGTGTTCCAGAGTTTGCCAAATTACATGTTGTGATTTTTTTGAAGTTGGTAGGAGTCAAGTCATATCTGTGTCAATGCCAGGCTTCTAAAGCTTCATGAAGTATGTTCTAAGATGATAAATCTTGTTATCTGTGTTTGTTAATGTTGTCTGCCTTCAGAAGCCTTCAGCAGTTGAGCCCAAAAAAATCTCAACAGAAGAAGTGGTCTCTGCTGCTGCTGTTCATTCTGTGAAATCTTCCGCTCCCTCAATGACTCCTTCAGTGAGTAGCCAGTTACTAATGTTAGCAGCAAAAAGCTACATTGTCAGAAGGGCTGCGTTTTAAGTGTTAGCATGACATGTTCTAGATTTTGATAGTCTGAAGCTTTTCTCATTCTTCTTGATAATGAGATTGTATGTTTTAGATGCCTGTGCTTATTGTAAATGTTTAATGCTCATAAGTAAGGTCTACTCCAGCCTTTCTCAACCTGACACCATGGTGAATTTTGGGGGCAGTAGTCAAACACATCTGGATGGCACCAGGTTGGGTATGTTTTTCTTAATTAAGTCCATTGAACTTAAGCTTGCTTGAAAGTAGCCCTTGCTAATGTTAATTCATCTAGCCTGGGGCAGGGTCCATGAAGATTTTGTCTATTGTCTGTGCTGAGAATTAGTTGATAAATCTTAGAAGCACTAGTAAGGCTCTTTTAATACCTAATTTACCAATATTTCTGTTCATATTTCAATACTTAGATTTGTCATTTTGTCTGTTTGTATACATAGTTTTTTACATGTTATTTGTAGAGTACAGAAGTACCTGATGAAGCACTGGAAGCTTTAGCCGGAAGCCTAGGAAAAAAAGATCGTGCTCCAGAAGAGAAAAAACCTGCTGTGGATAAAGTGAAGGTAAGAAAATTATGTGGCCCTAGCCAAGATCTGTTTTTCTGGCTATCACTGATAAGCTTGCTTTTTTCTCCACTGGGGTGTCAGGATTGCTAAAGAATGGCTGTAGCACAGGGAAAATTAACTTTTGGTACACACACAGTCTAGATATTTTTGGGTATATTTCCAACATACGGGATACAGAAGCCTGCCATAACAGTGAAGAGATTGCATCTCATACCAGGTTAAGGTATTAGTGAGTTAGTATGGTGAGCTCTGTGATTTCAGCTTTTCCACTTAAGGGTGTCTCAGGTAACAACATAGGACATGTTGCTGTGGCATCTGGGAACATGTTTAAAAATGGAAATTTCTTTAATAGCGCTTCTACTGAAGCAGGAGAGGGATTTCTTGTTGCAGACAGGAACATATCTCTGCTTGCACACAAGTGCATTGTATGTATTAGTAATTTATACAGATAGTACAATAATGAGCATTCCAATATGCTGCAATTTAGATAATGGAAATGAACTTCAGTAGCAAAAGGAAGTAGTTTATAAGCACCTGTATGCATGGATGCAGCAATATGTAATATATGTATGTGTATGTATCAAGCCTCAAATTATGTTTAAGAGTTGTTTTTTCTCTGTCCCCAAGGAAAAAGCAAAACAGGAGGAACGAGAGAAGTTGGGTGAAGATGAAGAAACCATTCCTCCCGATTACAGATTGACTGAAGCAAAGGTAAATTCTTCTTCATTTTGTTGCATGGGGAAGGGGGCAAGAGTTAAAAGGGTGTGTTTTTCCTTTTAGTAGCTTCCTTGAGAATTGTGGTTGTTTATTTTTATTTATTTTTCGATTTATATCCTGCCTTTTTCCTACAAAGGGCTCAAGGCAGCTTACATCATTCTCCTCCTCCATCTTAGCCCCACAACAACAACAACAACCCTGTGAGGTAGGTTGGGCTGAGAGTCTGTGACTGGCCCAAAGTCACCCAGTTGGCTCCATGGCTGAGCGGGGACTAGAACACAGATCGTCTGAGTCCCAGTCCCGTGCTCTTCACCACTACACCACACTGGCTCTGGCACTCTGTTCATTTGAGATGGCTGTCATGCACAGCTGTATAATCATATCATGCCAGACAAATACATACAGTTTTCCAGTGGGTGTATTTGGACTGGTAGAGTCGTCAGTGCAGTACTCCAGGGGTTTTGGCCCACTACTTCCATTACCCCTCAGCATTGGCAGTGTAGCCTTAGGCCGATGGGAATTACAGGCCACAGTATCTAAAGGGCCACTTGTTGCTCGTCACTGCAGTCCAGTTTGGAGGTCATGGAAGGCATGATTCAGCATAGCAAGATGTTCTTTGTCTGAGAAGGAATGGAGGCAATCCATTTAGAGCCTGCAGTTGGTAAAGAAAATCAAAAAACAAAAGCAGTCCCCCAACATCGGTAAAAACTATATTAAAGTTCTGTGCCTGTTCAGATGGGGCACAGTGCTGACTTTCGAACTGACCACACGATAAATGTGTATACATTTTAGAGAATTGCAACAGCATACATATAGCACAGTAATGGTTAACTAGTAGCCTGTGTTCTCTGCAGGATAAAGATGGGAAGCCACTTTTACCAAAACCTCAAGAAAAACCTCAGGTAGGTGAAAAAAAATACTTCAGAGTTGTGCAATATATTGTTCTACTGGTTCTGTTCAAATAGATTTTTCAAGCGTTTACTAAGCATTCTGACTTACTCCAACTGGAGACCAGCCTAGCTGGCTCAGCATATTCCTTCCATAATTCAAACATTAAACTGGGTTAACCCTAATATTAAATTTGGTGACCAAGTAGCTTTAAGGAATGAAAGGAGAATATTTATTGTGCGTTGCTTTCTCTTTCTTTCTTAGCCCCTAAGTGAAAGTGAACTTCTTGATGCTTTGTCAGAAGGCTTTTCTTGTTCTTCTGCACCAGCATCAAAGGCTTCCCCAGCAGCTGCACCTCAAGTAAGTTTTATATGAACCATGCATTTAAATTAACTTTACAAATTATGACAGGCAGTTACACACACCCACTAGTTGCAGATAAGTCTTATTCACTGTCATTTTAACTATACTTAAAGTGGTGGAGATTTTAATAAATGATGAACCAAATATTTAAATAATCATTAATTCAACGGAACACTTTTGCAGAGCAATCTGTAGTCCCAGGAGCCATAGAATGTGTCTCATTCACCCTCCAGAGGCCAGAAACACACCTTTGACCTTGGGGAGGGCAAATCTCACATTGCACAGTTCCTCCTTCCCAGCTCCTCACAGCTCGCATTGAAAGCTTGGATGGATCAAGGAGGAGGCAGGACTGTGGCAAGAAGGGGAGAGGAGATGCCAGAAAGTCCCCATAGCCTCCATTGCCATTCCTGCCCACGGCTGGTAAGTTAGCTAGATGGGTTCAGAGGCCCATCTAGCTTACACGCACACATGCAGGGCAGGGAGGGGACGGGAGATGGAATCACTTCGTCCTATCCTGTCTCATTTGTGCCAGTGGAGTGTGTGTGTGTGTGTGTGTGTGAGAGAGAGAGAGAGCGCGCTCCAACTTTGTCTTTACTCTTTCAGAAATGAGAAGGTGATCTCCAAATGAACACAATTAAAAGAAAATGCATTTTATGTTCAATCATAACACATGCTGAGGCATTTACAGTGGGGAGCAGGAATTGTGATGCCCCAGATCATTTTGAAAAGGCAGGCAGGGGTGTAGGGAGGTATATATCTTGTATGTGGAAGGCAAACTTTTGTAAAGTGACTTAGTGTTATAGAAGAGGAAGTGCATTCTTGCCAGCAGCTGCCTTGTACAGCTCCTGTGAAGAAGCCTAAGTACAGGCTAAACTTACAAGCCCAAGATGAGCCCTGCTGGATCAGACCAAAGGCTGGATGTCTTAGGAGCTCCACAAGCAAACATGAGGCAGTAGTCCTTTCTGTTGATGTTCTGCAACAGCTAATCTGAGGAGAAAGGCTACTTCTGAGTTGGGGGTGGCATGGGGCCATCACTGTGACTAAGAGCCTTTAATAGATCTTAATGTTTTTGTCTATTCATTTTTAAAATTGCTTACATTGGTAACAAGATTCATAACTTAACTGAATAGAGACAAATGGAATTACTTTTGAATAAAGTCTCCTTCCTTTAAGTTTCATTGGAAGATCCTAAATACTAGCACTGTGAGGAAGGAGGGAGACCTCTCCCTTTCCACTTTCTTCACTCCATACCTGATTGTATAACTGCTCCCCCTCTAGGAAGGGATGAAGAAGAACCATGTAGAGTTAAACTAAGGGGCCAGGGATATCACAAGCAGGCTGGGACTGCAACAGCACTGTCTCCAATGATTTCCCCAGAAACTGACACAGATAAGCATGCTGCACGTGATAATGAAGTTGGCATATAGCCATCGGGACTAGTAGCCACTGGCACCATCTATGAATTTGTTTAATCCCCCTTTAAAGCCATCCAAATTGCCGTAACTACACCTTATGTCAGCATGTTCCAAAGTGGTAATCTCCTTCCCCTCCCTCCCCACCCCTAAATAAAAGATTCCACATGTTATACTTTTGCTCTGTCCTGTTAATTATTTTGGCTATTTTCTGAACCTTTCATCACTCTGCAATAGTTTTTTTTAAGATACAGCTACTTGAACGCCATATTCCAAGTATGATTGCCACATAGTTTTTTATAAAGACATTGCAATGCTAGCAATGTTATTTTTAATCTTTCCAAGTGATTGCTAACATGGAACTTTTTCACAGGGTCAACATATTTGCTGAGCTCTCCACCATGATGCCAAGGGCATTTTGCCCTGCCAATCACTCCCAGCCTAGACTATCCTGGCTTCTGAGCTGCTACTTCCCTCTTGTCTCTCTCCTTTATCTTCCCTCTTCACAAACTTAACCATCTTTGGTAGAAATTATGTTAGGAAGGGCTCTTCTCAGGCAAGTCAGCATATTTAAAACTAAAGGAGACAGGGTTATCTTAAGATGGGAAGGCAGAAATGTTAGTTCCCATTTTATCAGTAGGCTGGAGAAAGTTGGGTTCTAGCAGTTGGCAGGGCTCTTCACTTCCTATCCAAAGTTAGGATCTTGGGGAAACTGAAAGGAGAAGTATCACACTCAACATTTACAGGCTAGGATGCCAATTTGCTGTGTGTATGGCAGTGACTAGCTTGAGAAAACTGGTTTTAAATTATTACATGGGGTGCAAGGCCCATGCCAAGAAGCTGACTGTAGCACAAATGAATGGGGAGGCTATTTGGAACAAGCAGCCTAGTCCTTTCGCTTCTGTACTGTGTCCAGCCTTAGTTTACCATGTGCCTCTAAATTTGTTGTTTTTATCGTAGAAATCTACAGGTGCAAGCAAGCCTGATGCTGCTTCTGCTGAGGAAGTTATATCTTCTGCCTCAGTTTCTGCAGTACACACAGCTGCTCTGCCACCACCAACAGGCACCCCAGTAAGCCAAATAATAACTTCTAAGTACTTCTGTTGCAGTGGCTAAAACCTTTGACAACAGTATATTTTCTCTTTAAAATACTTCTTATCTTACTTATTATCTAAGTAAGCTTTATGGATGTGTGATGTTGACTTTGGAAATTCAAGAGTTATTTGAAAGTAACTGTAGAGAGTTAAAGATCTGTGCATGCAATTGTTTTGGAATGTTTTGTTTTGTTTTGGAATGTTTTGTTTTGGAGTGTTATTTTTCAGTTAAGTCAGAATGGCTAGCCTTGTAGGGTGTTATTTAAACACTTCTTAACTGCTTTTACTAATATTGAATTATTGCTTTAAACTAATCAGGTTTAGCTTATGCCTCTTCATAAAACAGAGATACTGTTTTAGGTGTGCTGTAAACTAAAGTTACTTGTCTGCAGTAAATTAGATGTGCAGAAATAAGTTATTTCCTTGCCAAGCAATTTCTTGCTCAGGTGCACATAATTTGTAACTTCCAAAACTTTGTGGTCACATTGAAGCTAACTTTATATAACATTGACTTTATATCTCACGTTGTGTGGGGCATATTTTGTTTTCATTTTCCTTCATACCTATTAGGCTGAAAAAGAACTTGAGTCTGCTGCAGATCTTCTTGCTGATTCACTGGGACAAAGAGAACCTGATCCAGATGAAAACAAACCAATTGTAGATAAAGTAAAGGTGAGAAAAAGCTATTTCCCTGCCTGCTCTCCTGCCCCTGGCACTGCTGCTTTGTCATGGTCAACACAGTATTGGGCTTTCATATCTGCACAGGAAGCTGAAAAAACTGGACCAAGGGATTTTGCTGGTGCAGTCTATAAAGAGGCTTTTCAGGGCCACACTTCACTGCTGCTGTTCCTTGTCATAAGATGCTTCCCTTTTTCTATTGCTAGCATACCTCTCTAGTCGGAGAGAATAAGAGTTTTCTTCTACTTGCATTTATATAAGGTCATCCAAAAGGGGGCAATTTTGAAACACTGTATATTTTAACTTCAGAACGTTCCTTTTCCTGAAAAGTGTTTAGTTGTTGTTTAGTTCAACAGAACTAGCTTTGCTTGCAGTGTTTAAAGGCTATAGCAAAACAGAAATAATGTTTAAATTGCCTAAGTACATATTTAGATCATAAAGTTACTAAGCGCAACCTGTTTACAAGTAAGTAGAAAAATGCTAATTTCTGATTAAAATATGAACCCCTTCTTATTCTTCATAAATACCTTCACAAGGCCTTATCCTGTGTTGAAACCTGTTGCAGGATGCAAAATACCTCCTCCTGTTTCCTAACTGATAAGAGAGTGCATAGCTATTACAGTCAGCTGACAGTGTCTCTGCATTTGGAATATGCTTAGACAGCACCAGAACTACAATGTTTAACCAGGAATCATGTTCATAGTGTCAACTCAAGCTTTATACCAATGTGTAATTTTAGCTTTTAAGAATTCTTTTAAGCGATGGCATGGCTGAAAGCTTAACTGGAATTTTAAATAAACAAGTACTGTTCAGAGTAATTAAGAACTTTGTAGTCCTGAAAAAAATACTTAATACAAAAGTGATTTAATTTGTGCATCTTCTTTTGTTTGTTCATTTTAAAACAATTTGTGAAATCATTTTGGATCATTTTTGGGATTTCTGCTATTTTGGGGGGCACTTAGATATCATCATCTTTAAAAGCTATTTTTGTGCACTTCTGAAAAAGTTTTAAAAAACAGAATCTCATTTTTGCTTTCATAGGAAAAGGCCAAATCTGAGCATAAAGACAAACTTGGAGAGAGAGATGATACAATTCCTCCTGAGTATAGGCATATTCTGGACTCTGATGAAAAGGTAAATAGATGCTTTGGAAACTCAAACTTTCTTATATTCATAGATGTTCTCTAAAAATATATGTTGAGGATCGTATGGTCCTATAACAGAAACAAACAATCATGACTTTAAGTAATGGAATCCACACAATGTTTTTGGATGCTTGCTTTAGAGCAACCTGTGCAGGTTAACTCTTGACTCCAGAGATGAATGTATCCAGCTGCATTGACGTGTGTGTGTGTGTGTGTGTGTGTGTGTGTGTGTGAGAGAGAGAGAGAGAGAGAGAGAGAGAGAGAGAGAAATGTATGAGACTGTCCAGCAGATAAGCTTTTCTGCAGGCACAGTAAAAAGTTGCTTTCCATTTGCAGAATGCCTGATTGGTCACAATAGTTCTAAATGTACTCAAAAGTGGCAGAGGCCAGGCAGAATTTCGAAAGAGTTCCACAATCCAACAGCCCAGCTAACCTTTTTTATAGGTGAATAAGGGTTAGGTTTGGAAGGAAGCGCAATGATAGATTTACTAAAAGATGTATATTCTTGTTAAAGGGTAAACCAATAAAGCCAACAGACAAGGATGGTGAGAAACCCAAAGAACAAAAGGTAAAAACATCACTGCTCTGAACGAAACATTTCTCTTGCTTGTGGCCACACCTTCTTAGCTGTTTGGAATATGGAGGGGTTCACGGTCAATTCTACAAGTGTTTTATTTAAAGCGTTTTAAAAATTCCATTCCTCAGTTGGAAAGGCAGAGTGGCTCATATTGATCAGTAACAAATAAGGCAGCCCCTGCCTACAGGCTTGCATGACACAGCTGGGGTTTGGGGGAAGAGGAGAAAGAGGAAACAAGGAAGCAGAGGCGCTAATTTTATATGTGCAAGATTCTTATAACTGATGCCTTGAGTGAAAACCAGATGAACCTGGTTTCTTGGCAGAGTTGAGTGGCTCTGCTTTCCATCTCGCCCTCTGCTGGAACCTGATGGAATTTCACCCCCACTATACCTCCACTTGGTTCCACTTGTGGCAGATGAGCATAGAAAGTCGAGGTGCATGAGGAGCATTGAGAATGAGTGCTTCTGTATGTTAAGGCTTATTAACATATCTTATCTTATTTTCCTCCCACTGTGCAAGAGTGACGAAGTTGCTACTTGGATGTGTTCCTTTATTTATTAGCACTACAACATTTTTTTCATTATCATTTATTTTGCATATTCTTTGGAACCTGGGATTCCACCCCATCCACACACACTGTTTCCTTTATTGCAGAAGCCAGCAGATGATTCAGCAGCTATTGATGCCCTTTCAGGGGACTTTGATAACTGTGGGAAACCTCCTGTTTCACAAAAAACTTCAGCAAAGGTGGGGTCCTCTTCCTACGAACAGGAATGATTGTTCTTTATGTTTCTATGATGGTTCTGTCATTCACCTCGAAGGAGTGTTAAATGTATAGCTAAAACTATCTGAATGGAGCTTACCCAAGAACTGATGAGCTTATCCTATGAACAGAAAACACCTGTGAACATGTAGATCTAAAAGAGCTAGCAGAAAAATGATTGACCTGGTTTTGCACATATCAGTCGAGGATTAATTAACCCACAATTTGTGGACTTTTGTGTGAGCCACATTTTGTGTGCAGCAGCAGCTTCAGAACACCCCATTTGTCAAACATTAATGTGACAGCTGAACTCAGCTACTTTGGGCTAAACGACCCATTTAACCCATGCTTTGTTTTTAGGTTAATTTTGGATGTCAAGAAAAACCAAAGGCAAAAAATACACATTTGTTCTCAGTTGGGACAGTGTCCAGAGTTGCTATCTGTAAGGTCCAGGAAACAGGTGGCAGACATCCTGCATCACCCTTGGCCCATCCGTATACCTCCATCACCAGGACCATGGGTGATGAAGGATTATTGAGATCTTAGTCTTGATGCAGTAGAGTCAGAGGTAAAGATGAAGACAGGAACAAGGAAGGATCAAATCCTGACAAGGCATGGCAGAAGAACCAAAGGTGAAGGCAATGTCAAGGGCAGGCAGGATCAAATACCAGCAAAGTGTGGGGGAAAACAAGGTTAAGACAAGGATCAGGCAGCTGGCAAGATGGGATTGGACTGGAGCACAGTCAGAGTCAGGAGCAGATGGGTCAAAGCACTGTCATGGGCAAGGTCAGGCCAGAAAGAACATGATATGGCCACCCTGAGGACCCATGTTGCTGCAGCCAAGCTGAGCAGCACAGAGAAGCCTCCCAGCTGTGCTGTGTGATTACACAGGTATCTAATTCTTGCAAGTACCTACATATCTGATCGTGGTCCTGCAAGCACTTGCAAGATGAATGGTGCAGCTTTTCACCATTGTGTCATCAGAGGGATCTGTGCTGAGGCTTCAGATCCTGACAGTAGCCACTGCACCTTGGCAGCAGCTCCCCCTCCCCAGGATCCTGCTCTAGCTGCGTATTCAAATTCTTGTACAACTGCACCCCTCTGTAATCGTCGAAGTGCTGCTTAGCACACTTAAGTGGTTATATGTGACTGTCAAGATGGGATTAATGAAAGCCATGTGGCTTTTGCGATTGCTGAAAAAATGTTTAAAGATTCACAGGGAGCCACAAACAGCAGCAAGCCATTGGCAGCCACCCCTAAGTGCTGCTTGGACACTGGCAGGTGGCTGGCATTGTCATTGTCTAAAGGAAGCTCAAGAAGAGCAGCAAGGGATTTTTGCCATGCGAGTCGCCAGCCACTGCTCTTATCCAGGGTAGGACTAGTTGTCCAGGTTAGAATGCAGTAACCTACTGTAAGAAAAACAAACTCTGCAGTAGCTTATGAGTTTTCTGGGTGGCTTGTTTGAAACAAAACACCAGATGTTTCAGATGGCTAGCAAACCATGGACAGTGTTTATGTCATCATGGATTCTTGGGTAGTAGAAACCAGGTCAGTGTCTCTTAAAATTGACTCAAGAACTGTCATGGACATAAAGTTGTACCTGTTGAGGTTTTTCTTCTGTGTGTGTAGTTCTGTCAAATTATAATGTTCAGCATTCCAGGTCCCACTGAGTCTTACTTTTTGTGTGAAGCCTGCCTACATTCTTTTTTTTTCTTGGAAATCCCTGTTTCCCAAACCCTTCAGCCTGAGGTATGTTTCAGTTTGAACATTTATGAACAAAAGTATTTTTCTTTCTTGGATGTAGGATGAAAAAACAAAAGACGCTGCTGTATCTAAACCAGTTAGAAAGGAAGAAAAGAAATCCAAATCCCCAAAAAAGGTAAAAAAAAATGCTAATATAAAATATTTTTAACAGCCATGGTTATGAGCCTCAGGAACAGCCTGCTACAATTGCTCAGCGTCATTCTTCTCCAGGGATCCTTGATTGTGCCCTTTTTCAGTCTCCACTGTGCTTACTAGAAGAGACACTTGGTGAAGTAGGTGCAGTGCACATTTTTTAATGGAGTGACTTCAAAACCAGGAGGGAATGAAGAAAAAATTAGTGGGAGTATGAATAGGGGCACTGCTTTCTTTTCTTCCTCAGAATGGTGGGTACCAAAGCAAAATTAATGTCAGAGGTAGGATTTTGCAAAAAAAAAAATTCCCCTAGAAGGTTTGAGGCATTTTTGCATATGGGCAACTTTAATCGCACAAATATATGTCCATCAGCTTATATTGGTCAGTCACACAAAGTGACATTTGCACATGGGGGAAGTATCTGCTGGCAAAATTCAGCTGGCTCCCACCCTTAGAAGCTGCAGATAATGTCTTTGGAAGAAATAATTGTGAGAAATCGAAGAAATGATTGTGAGTCTCAATAACTCAGTTTGTGTTGCACTCCATTCCTATATTCTTGATAAACACATGCATTTCAACCTCTGTTTTATGACTCAACTTTTCTCATTTTTCATATTTATTCAGTATTTGTTGCCTGTCTGAAAGTTCCAACTAGTAATGTTGTTGCTGTTCTTCCCCCCATCCCCTTTTAAGGGAAAAGAACAGTCTTCAAGTGGAAAATCTGAGAAACAGAAAAAAAGTTAAATCTTTCCAGGTGAGAGTTTTGAAGATGCTTATTATACACAATAAGTGTGTGTGTTAGGCATGAATGATTCCTAACAAATGTCTATCAAAAACCCCCAAGGTTTTAGACCCTCACGTTTTAAGTCAGGTATTTTAATTTTGCAGAGCTTTGGGGAAGATTAATTTGTAGTATTCCAATGGGGTTCCTCCTGTTTTAAAATACTAAGAATTCATTGCTGCTGCACGCTTCAGCTGCAGCCTTTACTCCTCCTTTTCTTAAAGTACTCATTTGCTCAGACAGCACCTGCTTTTCCTCTTGAGGAAAACAACTGCTAGCATTGCAGATCATTATCCATATGGGCAAGAGAAGTGGGTTAGCCTCAGAAACTGGCTATTAGGTATATCAATTCCATCTATACTCTCCTTGGGTATTACTAGTTTTCAGTTTGGAACAATTTATACTCTCATTTGATGCATTCTGTTTTATGAGACAAAGCTTTTCATCTCACTAAGAATTTATTGTCTTTTTGTTTGTCCAGACTTTTCGTCACTAGTGCAAAGATTCTTCATTTTGCTGGTGGATAGCTGCACTTGAACAAAAGCTATTTTGCAGAAGCAAGATAGTTACCTGGGTGGTTGTTTGTATTGTGGTATTTGGATATTTTGGCATGTTATGCGTATCTTTTGCTATTTTCCAAGGATGAACTAACTTTTTCTAGCCATTTATTTCACTGTTGTTTATTTTGTAATTTTCTTGAGTTCTGAAAGAAAAGGAATGCTTTATATTTGTAAGAAACAGATTTCCTATTAATTCAATAGTAATGAAAAAGACTGCAAAGTTTTGCACATAATCTACACATAGTGCCTGTAAATCTCAGCAGAGTTCACTACATCTGTACAATATATTTTTAGGATACCAAATGCTTTCAACTTTCTGGAATGAAATGAGTTTTGGATATCATCTGCCTCTTTAGGCTAGTTGCCTGTGGTTATTCTTTTTGGGAAAATACTTGGTGAAAAGGGAGGGAGTATCAGTTGCTATGATTTAAGAGTGGGAGTGGAATAAAAACTATTGTTGCTCATCTTTGGCTTCCAACAATATAGTATTGAATATGAACAGTGCCTTTAGTATTGTGTATTTTAAACCTTGAGTTCTTGCTATCACCATCTTTTGCATACTATGCAGCCCTGTCAGCACCTTCCAGGAAGGACATAATATTGAATCAGAACACCGGAGATGGATTGCAGTACTTCAGAAGTACTACAAGTAGTTTTGCAATATTTGCTTCACTCTTCTTGACTTGCATAAATTCACAAACAACTTTGACAACTCTATATAGAGAGAGTCCCAACATTTACACTGGGTATGATCCTCACCTGAAGTTTAGATTACACGGGGCAGCTTAATCCAGATGTATATACATAGCACAGTGAATATGAAGGTGCTTTGCAAGGTAATCTGGATGCAATGCATGCTCAAATTTTCATGTTTTCTTTTGCGGTATTCCTTGCACCAAGAGAGAAGCTATGACTCCATTACCAGATTCTGATGAATTGCAATCAGAGTGACAAATCTTCCTATTGGTGTGTGGAGTAAGCTACTACTAATTTGGCAAAATGGTCAAGTCTGCTTCTAGGTAGCAAGTCATCTACCACTTTCATTATCAGATATATAGGCAGCAGTCCACCAGGAATAAAACCTCCGCTAGACCTTTTGAATTGCATGAGGGTTTTGCAAGAAGCAGGTCATTGTCTTCCATAGCTCTTACTGATTTCAGAAGGAGTAAGTGCAGGTGATGTTCCTGCATGTCTTTCAGGATGAGGAAAATCAGAATTCTGATTGTCCTTTACAATCTGTAATGGTAATACTGTACGGTATTGGACAGGTTGTATTGAGATTCTGTGTACACTAATAAAGTTTTTAGATTGTAATACTCTTTTTTTGTACTTACGTTTTATGCTTATATTAATGCATTATCTTGTTGATCTTCTGGAATGAGAAACTCCAGGCCAGCAGAACATCTCTGTCCAACTCATTGCCAATATCTCCAATTGGGGAATAAAGATTTCCCCTTTTCCCCTAAAGAAAGCCTCCAGTGGTGACAATGGAAGTCTTTTAAAGCTGAATTATTGCAATCTGGAGGATCACTGTTGGTTAGGGAAGAGTTTACTCCCCCTTTTCCTGGCTCTGTGGGTCTCTTGAAAAATTGCTCCTTCCCACTGCAACCAGGTGTTCTGAAAAGCCTTCATTTTTGCAAGTGGAGGCTTTTTAGTGCCTGATTGCAGTGGGTAGGGCGAGTCACGTGCGTGGCATGCATGTGGGTATGTTCCAGTGAATATGTTGGGGCTGTATAGCAGTAGTGGGGTGGCCTTGCCCAGAAACAATTCAGCCCTTGGGCTGAAAAGCTACTGGCATAGTTGGCCAAAAACAGTATTGTATCACATCTCTGATAGAAGTGGATGCTTAAAGATGTATTACATTGGGGAGTATCTAACAGTGCCATTCTGCAAGCTCAAATATCCTGAGTGAGGGTCTACTAAATGTTTCCAATGTGCAAGCGGTTGCTCATTTTGTTCAAGGGGCCAACTTGTGCAAGAAATTGTACAATAGGTTAATGAGTTATGTGCAATGGGTAGCACAAATCATGTGAAACTGCTTGTGCAAATATAACTTTACTTGGATTCTTCTTTTGCACACAGTTCAGAACCTGCTTCCCACTAGCACAACATTATTTGTGCTAACAAAATGACAGTTGAATGCTGTCACTGAATACTTGCCTAAAGGCAAGCCATTTTCCTTTGGAACTATTTTCCTTTGTCCTGATTCATCTAAAGGTTATACATGTAACCAATCCAGCAGCTAACACTGCTGCACATAGTGTTGGATAATGAACATTTCAAATGTTTGATCATTACAATGTATTTATGCATGCAGTTTTGAACAATTCAAGTGAAACCAGTATTTTCTGATGTTTAAAATGTGGAACTTAATCTCTAATTCTTACCCTAATTTTCCATCAATTTTGCAATGAAAAGCAATTAGATTAGTACTTTAAAAAAATACGGACTTCCAGTGATCCAGAAGTAAACTGTGTATCTGAGTTGGGTAAAACATTGTAATTCCTAGTACATTATGCTGGGGAAATTTTGAGAGAGTAAGTACCTTTCAGCTTTAGTTCCCTATCTATAAAAATGGACCCCATCGCAAGCAGGACTGATGTTGATCTAAAGGGAGATCTAAAGACAGCAATGCAATTTTTTTCCTTCCCCATAACAAGACCAAGATAAGTGTCCAAGTTTGTCCAAGTTCCTTACCATAGGATAGGATAACACAGATGCACACACAGATCTGGGGTTTAGCTTTATTCAAAGGTAAATCAGGAGACACAGTTCCCACTTAAGAAGTCATGGCACTTAATGGTAAAAATTACAAATTACAAAAATTACAAATTGGTAATTACAAATTACATGGGCCATGGAACTAATGGTCCATGGCTTAAATTAAAGAGTGTCCAGAAGCAAGTACATAATCATAGTCAGGAAAAAGGCTAAGAGCAGCAGCAGGGGTTCAAAAACTTAGCCAGGTTCATGCTCAGAACTTGGCTATGGCTCAAAATTCAAGAGACACCATGGCTGGAGCTCCAACCAAAAATGAAAACATTCTCAAAAGTAGAATCCCCATGGTCAAAACTCCGGACCAATTCAGGGTCAGGAATAGTTGCAGTTGGTAGAGTTCCTGCTCAATTAACCTCCTTGACAGGATTGTGAACCCTAGTGAACTAAGTGCAGAGATTCAAGATTAAACTAAGCCAAAGAGCCCACTGTGAGGGAAATAGTTTGAAATGCAGGATCTCCATGCACAGAAGCTTCTAGCTGTGTCAGGTTCGAGGATACAGAAATAAGTTATGACAAGGAAGAATTCCAACTTGTTCCACATTTCAGGATCTTGTACTCTTGGAGGTCTAGATTGAATTGGGTCCAGGGATTAATTACTCATCAAAGAGAGTCCCTCAGAGCTGAAAAAAGGCCCCAGCAGATACTTGGTTCATGTTACAAGATTCCCTGGAAGTATGAACCAGCCAAGCAGCACGTGTCGATGACTAAGAAGAATTCTAGGCTATGAAAGACACTGGCACCAGCAAAACTTTCTCGTGGGTTCATTAGCTTATAAATAGGGCTGTGGCCGTGGCTGCTGGGCACATTAATATTCTGTTCTGACAAGTGAACATTCATCACAAAATGCTAAAAAGAAAATCTGTTCTGCCTCTTGAGCGGACACTGCAAGCTGAGATAATTCTGCTAAGCTATTTTCCTTCCCTTGTGTTTTGGCTCCCATGAAAAAAAAAGTAATAGAAAAGTTGGGGCAAAAATGCTTTTGGTTGAAAAGGTGTACTAAGGTTTTACCTTTTTCATCTGTAATTAGCAAAGAGAAACTTTCTGATGGTTCTATTACATTTTAGATTATGCTTATTAAAAGAGGAAGCACACTTTGGGTCAGGGGTCACAAGGTCCTCTAGCCGTGGTAAAATACCAACAATAAGTAGGCAGAATGTTGGGGTTTTATAAGAATTTAGAGTGTAATGAGGAATTGATGGGGATTCACTTGGCCCTGCTCATTCTGTCAATCCTGCACTAGCATTGACTTGATACGGTGCCACATCTGGTTTTCAAAAAGGATTGAATTTGTGTATCTTTTTTAAAGCTGGAAAGTCTGAAACTTGCAACTCCAGTCTAATTTATACATGTTTACACAAATTGTGTACATGTGTGCAATCACAAATTTGTGCAAATTGAGCAGAGGCCTGAATTTTGCACAATTCTGAAATTAACCATCAGAAAAATCAGTGCTCAAGGTAGAGTTTATGCATGTACAGCAAGAGGAGAACGCTTCCATATTTCTCATTTTAATACTACAAGATCAACTCAAACCTTAGGAATCGGCCCCGATTTATGGAATTCACGGAATTTTTGCTTTGAAATTTGTACAAATATTTTGCAAAATGTCTCAGAAACAAAACCAAAGCCCTGATTTGGCCTGCTTTTGGCAGTCATGTCAGAAATATGTTGGAAGTCTGCTGAGCTCAAGCAGAACGAGTTTTGTGGTATTGCATATCCCTAGAGAAAACTGAAATAAGAGTATTAGCAAAGCAAGCAATAGTGCGGGCATCTATCTCCAACCTACCCATATTTAATTTATCAAGAGTGGACTAAAAAACTTTCAAAGTCCTTAAGGATGTTACTCAACATTCAAGGGTCTAGGGTCATTCCCTTAATTTTGTTATCTCATTGTAAGTGTTGGTTGTTTTCAAAGTAATTAACTTGTTTAGTTCCTGCAAACTTATTTCAAAATAATGTCCATCAAAAAGCTAGCAGAAAGTATGTCTACAGAAGCAACTGCTATTAAAAATGACTTCTCTTGTCTGGCACTGCAGCAGTTACAGTGATGAACAAAACAGCAAATACATAATTTATCATGCACACAAATTCTTCATAGCATTTTCTTGCCTTTGAAAATGTAGGTCACATGTGCAGCTCTTGTCATTCAAACTTACATTTGCACTAATGAGCAATCTTGCTTCACACTTTTGTATCAACTGAGTTTGTGGGTAGCATTTTTATGTCTGTTTGAAAACTTACAGTTCTTAATTCTGGAGCAGTTGTTCACACACAATCTTACAGTTTGCTGTTGTTTCGTAACCACTTCTGGAGTTGTTCAAGGTTCATATCCATCCACTGGATATTTTCTTCAATTGTTTCTATTGCTTGTTGAACAGCACGGAGCTGTGAACTTTTTTTGTCCAGAGAATTGAAGAAGTCTTTTACCTGTTGTATTTTTTAAAGTGCCACATTACATTTTTTTCATTACTATCATTATTTCTAATAGAATTTTAAGAAATTTATTTATTTATTTTATTTAAAACTTTCATATGCCGTCACCGCATGCCTCGGCATCTCGGGACAGCTCACAAATGTACAATTAAAAAAATCTGTAAAATTATGTAAAAACAAAAAAGCGATCACGAACAATAAAAATATTAATTTTTAAAATAGAAATTAAATAAAAAGGTTTTAACCTGGAGCTGAATATAAACTCGGCACCAGGCACACCTCTCCAGGGAGCACATTCCATAATTTGGGCACCACCGCAGAGAAAACCCTGCTCCGGGTAGTTGTTCTTTTTATCTCCTTTAAAGAGGGCTCCCAGAGCAAAGCCTCTCCCGCAGATCTTAAGGGGTGTTTTAGGTTTTAGGAAACTACATCCTACTCTCCGCTGCACTGAGTTTCCTGGGTTTTGTCATAAGAATTTTATTTATTTATTTATTTATTTATTTATTTATTTATTTATTTATTATTTGTTTGTTAAAAGCATTTCTACCTGGTCCTTTACCAAGGTCTCTTTCTTGACCTTGAAAACAAAATGTGCCTGTGTTTTAAGTTTTATATTAATTACAAGTGCTCACAAAGAACTTTTCTTTTGCTTCATATTTATAAATTATACATATGAGAACAACATAGGTTATCTATGGTTTATGTGGGATATTCTAATGACTCATTTATTTGATTGGATTCGAACAAACTTCAAGATAATGCAATTATATCTGCCCCATTTTATCTCCAGAGGTTGCTCACTTTTTCTGTAGCATTGGCTTAATTAGCACTGGCTGCTTTGTGATGTTTGTCTTGCTATTAGTGGTTCTGCAATTCTTTGTCAATGATGTTCACACCTCTTATTATTCTAGGCCTGACCTAGGAAGGCAGATCTACCAAACTTACTTCTAGAGGTCTTCGGATCTTAAGTCTTTAGTGGTTGATGTGGTTTCTACTATTATTTTATACAAGGTGGATCGGTTATAACATTACCACTGCACTGAGTGTAAACCTTAGAGTGATCTGAGCCTATATAATTGGATGGTCTTGATTTAAAATAAAATACAGACCCTGAAGAAATGCTTACCTCAGCAAGTTGTGCCTTTGTGGAATACTTATTTGTTACTCCAGTAATCATGACTGCAATAGAACGTGACCCTAGTTCAAACCTACAAAAATAGTAATGACAATATATGAACCAAACAGTTCCATGCTTTAAAGATAAATAAACAGAAATACAATTACTAGAACAATGTTTAAAAATGTCACCTACTTTTGCACAAGTTTCTGCCAGTTCCTTTTTAAAAAGTTCCAAGCTAGCTGATAACCAACAGGGTTCCTTCCAACACTCACAACAATGTAAGGAAGTTCCTGAGTCTTTACTATGTCACCTTGCAACCCTTGATCCATCAGCCTGAAAAACCAATATCACCATTACCTTCTTAGGAAGAAGAAAGGGGGATAAATGATAAGGGTCAGTGTTGCGCTACTGTATAATTATTTGCACAACATGACCTTCTGCCTCTGCTCTCTTCTGCAGCCTTCCATGTCACCTGAAAACAACATTCTGGAAGGTTTCCCAGTTCTCCAGAGCAGATTTTGAATGTGCATAAGGAAATACCTCCCGGCTGAAATGAATTCATACAGTGCAATCCTATGCATATTTATTTAGAGTTGTCCTATTATTCAGTGAAGCATTTGTTTCAAGAAGAAGTGCACAGGATTGCTAGTTCCATACCATAAAGCAGATGTGGCCTTTAGAAGTTACTACATGCTTTGGAGACAAAAAAACCAGTGATAATGCAGTATTTTAGCCATTTTCCTCATGTAACAATGCCAGATTGCTGGGTTTTCTGTTGTGTCAACTGCATTTATTCAATGGGTTAGCTCTTAAAATACTTCACAGACCCTGAGTTATTCTAGCAACCTAAATAGGGCAACACAAGCAAATCAAATTCTCAAGTAGCTATCTTGTTTAAACGCTCCCATAAATTTGAAGCTGCATATATCTGTATATGCATAAGTGATGGTGGCAATTTGATGGTGGCTGGCCCACCCTCTAAAGTTGTGGTGTTCTTCAGTCCTCCCCTCACCATCATTTCTGACAGCCTCATTTGCCATTCCCCCACAGTTTATATTACGGAAATGATACTGAATGCAATGGACAGTTCCCTGGCCTACAGAAGGCGGCCTCATCCACCAGCCAAAAAATCAGCTGGATGGCTGTACCCTCCTGCCTCCCAGTATAACAGTAACAGTATGGAGGAGACCAACCCGGCCCCCTATATTGGTCAGAGAAGCAACAGTTACAGTTTTGCCTTTCCCTGTCAGGAATCACCTAACATCATATTAGACAATGATTAAATGTATATGAAGATATGGGTGGGCATCATCCTACGTTTTATAAATATGTATGTGTGTGTGAGCTTTAAAGCCACTCATGCCATCTGAATGCTCACCACTGCAGCTTTTCCTTATTTTGGCTTAAGCTGAGAACAAATTCAATCGCATCCTTTTCAGTGCTGAATTCCGGTAGCTGATATTTGCTGAAAAGGAAGTCCCAGCCTTCATCTGTCTGTGCTCCAACAGCATACACCGCAAACTTAACATCATTAGGCAACCTGAAACAAATTGGATCTCAAATTATATGCTACATCCTTTGATGATGATGTGTCCAACTGCAAACTCCCATCAAGCAAGGCTTCATCACCCCCCACGAAGGCTGAGAAGGGGAATGCACAGGTAAATGTAACTCTCCCCTTTTTGCTGCTACATGGCTGTGCTGGGAGGGGCACAGTATCCAAGGCACTGTGCCCCTAAGCATTGCCATGGGAAGATTCAAGCTTCAAGATAAGATTCATTCTGTATAAACATGAAACACGTACTGTAGAGTTCCATTTGAGTTCTTCCATTTCATAAAGTACACTTCGGCTTTGTCCACACATGGTTGGTACTTGCGTACGCATGCAAACATAAGAAGGGTACTGCGAAGCAGTCGCTCAGATACTGTGCCTTCATCATCCCAAGACTGCTTGTCAATCATGTTTTTAAACAGATTTACTATATATTCCTAGAGTGAGTTCATAAATAAAACAAAGAAAATGAAGTAGCATCATTAATACTCATTTAAAACACCTACTGTTTAAATTAAGCACAATAATTTTGTCTCTGGCATTCCACCAAAATTTAGGAACATAAAACAGTTGAAGTCTTATTCATTTGAAGGTAGAAAATGATGCATTGAATGTGATAGTATAATGTTTAGAATAAAATGTCAGCTATTGATACAGAAGGCACAGACATAACTGCATGATATAGGCACATACCAGATGCTCCATTCATTTCCATAGAAGAATCCTCTTATTCTTTGGGAATGTTTAATCTCCCCAATACTATAAATAATTAGATTTATGAATGAGGAAACAATCTATATGCTTTTCTGCCTTTACAGAGCTTCTGTATCAAGGAAGTCTGTTTACAGACATCCTCTGGGCAGACTGACACAGGTCCCATTCCTCAGTCTAGTTTGGGGTCTGCGGCTAAAGCTGCAGTTTCTCTGCCTGTCCTGGCTACTTTTGGAGGGGAGAGGAAGGAAGGAAATAGTTACTGCAGGACATAGTTGAGAAGACTAATGTTTTCAGTGTTCTGGGAGCAGGGTTTGTGTAGATTACAATGAGGTAATTAATGGATCCTGATAAGTTGGTATGGGGCTGCACTGAAGCCATGTGCCCTGTGGAAGTGCATTCATTTGTCTCTGTAGTCAGAGTTTTAGATGGTTAAATATGGTGCTTACTTAAAACACCTGTTGCTCCACTCTGGTGCTTCAGTTTCATTATTAAGTCAACTCCTTCCTTGAGCCACAGAAGTACAGGTATATGTGGGCTCATTACTTAATATAATGGAATAATATATTGTTCTACCTGTGAACATCCTGAAGTTTAACAGCCAACTCTGTTTTAAGTATAAGGTTGGTATGTACAAAATAGTATGGACTACAAGGAATGTATAAAATTTTGTTAGGTGGTGACTGTGCCTTGTGGCACAGAATATGTCTAGAGAGAAAGCATCATCTCATATCCTTATGAACCTTACCTGCCTATGTTCTATCCCTTTCTTTCCAATGTTATTTTTGTTCTTTGATTATGTTCTTGGGATTAGAACAGGGGTCTCAAACTCAACTTACCTGGGGGCCGCTGGAAGTAGAGTCTGGGTGAGGGTGGGCCGCATCAAGTATTCCACCACCGCGGTGGTGGCGGGCCGCTCATCCCGCAGCCAGTGCTTTGAAGGCCGCAGGGCCCCTCCCCCGTGCCCCACCCGTCCCGGCAATTGGCCCGCGGGCCGCGAGTTTGAGACCCCTGGATTAGAACATACGCATAGAAAGAACTGGCTCTCCGTATTATATCGATGCATCACAATGTAGTATTATTGTGTTGGATTATAATTTCTTGAGAGTAGAGCTCAAACTCTAACCCTGAACTCTACCCAAAAAGTATTCCCAGAGGAGGAGGTGGGCACAGGGATGAGGGCAGAACTTCCCGTTTTTTCTCCTCCTCCCCTTCCCTTCCCACCCTTTCTCTGGAAGTTTGGGAACACGCAGAGGAGTATGGCAGGTAGTACTAGGGGCTGCAAGAGAACAGTAGAACTAGCAAAAATAGTCACCTTTCTGATTCAACCAGTTGAAGACCCTTCCATGAACAGAAGTGCAACTCGGGATGCAAGCCTGTGTGTTTGAGTGTAATTAATCCCCTATCACTGACTACCACATTCCTGGTCAATTGAAATATATTCTCAGGAACATACTTAGAATGGCAATACACATTGATCCCCACGAGGCCAGTTTTATAGTGATCCTAACCACCTCTACTTTAGCACACCTATGAAAAGGCACTTTGTATTGCTGCATCTACATATCATTATATAATGCTGCCTCTACTTGGGATTCTATCCTGGAAAGATCAGACCAAAAGAGTAGCTTGTTTTCATTCTAGAGGAGAACATAGTCACATTTGTTTGTTTATTCTCAATAATCTGCATATGTAAGTTGTAGGGATATGTGAGGAACCCACATGGGGGTGGGAATTCATTGAATTCCCAAAGCGTGTTGCAGCAGTCCTGGTATCAAGTTCCTGGTAAGCGCAGTCAGTGCTCATAAAGCGCTTGCCAGGAATTGAGTCCCATGCACTGCGCAAGCAGTGCCCCTCTTCTGTGCCTGCTGCCACTGGCAGCAGCCGATGGCGAAGAAGGTTGGGCACCAGGAATGGCCCACTCGCAGGCCCCTCTTCCATGTCCTCATCTCACTCTGCAAGACTGAGCTGAGCTCTAGAGGATGTCTGCAGATCCCAGAGGGATAGATACTCAAAAGACTTCATTCCTAAAGTTACCCTTGCTTCTTCCCCATTTTACCTTTAACTGATGTTCCGTGTCATTCATGTCCCTCTTCTCCAGCAGTTTGTACAGAGGGATTAGTTCATCCAGTCCATGAAACACAGGCGTAATTTCATATTCATTTTTTAGGTATAATGTTAAATCAAGAGCTTTGGTAATAGACAGCTTTCTAGCGCTGTGGGAAATATGAAGTTAGTGTCTGAATGGATGTATAAAATATATATTGCTAAAGTTCAAGCATTGCTATCTACAGATTTTCTAATTAATAATGCACATTAGCAAAATACAATTCCATGTTTTGACAGTTAACCTTATAAATAAAATATACCCAAAATGTTGTTAACCATATGAAATATGCCTGCATTTTTGCACCTAGCAGTGGCAAATGTTTAAGCTAGTATGTTTTATTCACAAAGGCAAGCTAGCATGATTTGTGCTATCAATTGCAACTGTAGCTGTCAGTAAACTGGGCCCAAATACTGGGGATGGTAAAGTTCATCTATAGGATAATATGCTAAAGTCAAGATTCTGACATAAGAAAGATTCCAGCTTTTGATCAGAATGATTTCCTTCAACCTGGTCAGAACAGCCCTGTGCTTCTCTGCCTTGTCTTTGGCCTTCAGCACACTTTCTGGCCTATTCATTTGCAGATCCAGTTCTTCTCACACTTTTGACCATATTTTGGGGACTACCAACTCTTCAGCCAACTTTGCAACCTGGCCACAGTTTTCACCTGTGGGGTTCCGAATACTACTGGGCTGCATGATTTTGGCCTTGATTGTCTTACTCAAGCTTTCAAGGCCAGTCCCCCTCTGATTAACACTGCTACCCTGCTTCCGGTTATATCCATGTAGTCTGCAAGCCGCAACTGTTGTCTGCCGCAACATACACAATGCAGTCAGAGCAGGAGATGCTTATGATCCCTTACCTCACCAGCTGGAATGCACTGTTCAGGAGGTTTGCTCTGTCATTGCTGCTAATTGCTTCATGATTTTCTTTTAAAAGGCGAGTAAGAGCATCCCATCCATAATCTTCATAGTGGACAATATAATAACCATTCATTCCTACATTAAATTTTATCCACTCCACTTCTTCTGGCAGGGTGATATCACCTAGAAGTAAAATATAGTACAACTCTATATTCTTCCATTCCACAGCACTTGACTGAGTTTATTGCATTCATTAACCATGGATAAAAGCAAAGATCTTTAACCATGAATAAGGTTTTGTACATATTTTCACTGCACGTCTTAAACTCAGTTTCTTGCTACATTTTAACATCTTCCATAATACTATTATTTAATGTTTGAAAATATTATTTTAAGTCTTACCATGTGAATTGGGTCAAACATACCTGTTTTGGTTGTTAGCAAAAACCTTTGAACAGTGTCAGATTTACTGGTCATGTATGTTAAAGGGATGTGCCACAGATTCCTAAAGTCAAACAAAAATTTTAATTTTAGAAACACATTGGATTAATACTTTAAACAACTAATATAAGCACATCTTATACAGTGCCTTGCAGTCACTGCCTTTGACTTTTTCACATTTTGTTGTGCTACAATCTGGAACTGAAATTAATTTACTTGGCATTACTGCAAGTTGATGTACACAAGTTACTCAACGCCGTGAAGGTTCAAACTTTTTTATTGTGGTACAAAAGTTAAGTAAACCAAAACAAAATGGTACTGGTTAGTATAAGTATTCAACCCCATTATTGTAACATTCCTAAAGCAGCTTTGGTTCAACCCCAGAAGCCCCAGAAGTCACATATTGTAAGTAACTGAACGGAGTCCACCTGTGTGCAATTACAGTGCCACATGGTAGAGTGGAGAAAGTGGAAAGGAAGAGATTTTTCTACCTCTCCCATAATATAGAAACCCAGGGTCAGTCCATGAAGATGATTGGTGGGATATTTGAGGCAAAGGAAATATTTGTTCACACAGTGCATAATTAAACTATGGCATTTACTACCACCAACTGGGACAATTTTAAAAGGGGAATGGGCAAATTCATGGAGGAGAAGGCTATGTGCTACCTCCATTATCAGACCTGGTATGCCTAAGTACACAGCTGATGAGGAGCTTGGATGGATAGAACTCCTGCAGCCATCTGCTAGAGGGTAGCTGTGGGCAGTTGGTTTGCCACTGTATAAACAGAGTGCTGGACTAGATATACCACTGGTTTCATCCATCAGTGCTGTTCTCAGATTAAATACATCTGTCTCTATAAGGCCCCAGGATTGGAAAGCATGCCTAAGCAAACTGTATCATGAAGACCAAGGAACTATCAAAGGAAGTCTGGGAAGAAAAGTGTAGAAGCACCAATCAGAGCTGCACTGCAGAAAAAAAATCCAAACTATGAACATTCTTGCAAAGGGCTGTTAAATCCATTACTACAAAATTATGCCTCAACCATAATTCTTCCTAGAGAAAGCTGTCCACCAATACTCAAGGACAGGTAAAGAGGGCATTAATCAAAGAAGCGACCAAGAAGCCAATGGTAACTGAAGGAGCTGAAGAAATCTGCAGCTTAGATCAGAGAAGCTGTCCATGGGACAACTATCACCCACACTCTCGATCAGGACATTACGGAAGAAAGCCATTACTGAAACAGACCCACATCAAGGCTTGTTTGGAGTTTGCCAGAAAGGCTTGTGGGAGATACAGTGAATGTGTGGAAAACAGCTTCTCTGGCCTTGCTACAAAATGCTGTGTGTGACACAAAGCCAACAGTGCTCACTGCTGCATCAACACCATCCATGCAGTGTGGAGGCCGTGCTTTTCCTTGGCAGGAGTTGGGAAACTGATCAGGAATGAGGACAGAAAATCTGTTCCATCGGCATGAGTCCTAGAATTGGGACAGAGATTCACTTTCCAGCAGGACAATGGCCCTAAATACACAGCTAAAATGAGCCTGCAGTAGTTTAAAAGCGAGGACCTAAATGTCTTAGAATGACCTTGTCAAAGCCCATACCTCATTCCTGTTCAGAATTTGTAGCAAGAGTCACAATTTGCTGTTCACCAATGGTTCCCATCCAACCTGACATTGCTGAAACAGTTCTGCCAGGAGGAATGAACCAATGAACAAATTAGAAGGATCTAATGAACAAACTTGAAAAAACTTATCCAAGAAGACTAACAACTGTAGATAGTTCTAAAGATGCTTCCAACGCAGTATTGACTCAGACGTATGAATATTTATGCAAGCAACAAGTGCCTGTTTGTTTTTGTTTACATTTGTACCTCAATAAAAATATTTAGCACCTTCACAGTGTTAAGAATCTTGTGCTTATCAAGTGGTAACAAATGTCAATTACAACCATTTCAATTACAGGTTTTAACTCAACAAAATGTGGAAAACTCAAAGAGGGGTGAATTCTTCTGCAAGAGACTGTAAGTGAGCCCTGAGCTGGCATAACTGGTTCAGATAATCAGTGATAGAAAACATTATTTTGAAAAACTTCCAGCTCTCTACTGTGTGCACGTATCTTTAACATGAGTATAACAATGCATTTTATTATTTTCAAAAAAACAATGCATTTGCATTGCAGATTTAGCACTCATGCTATTCATGCCACCTAATGGAACAACTGAGATGCAATTCCATACAGGAATAATTTTGTATTATTTATAAATATAATATAAACTGGTCTCCACTTTAGTACTGGTGATTCAGAGGTGGAAACATTTTATCTCATGCTAATGATGAAAGGGCAATCACCACATTAGGCTGTAAGGGTAACATATTTCTCTAATTACTGTACTTTTCAAAACAATATCCAATATAAGTTTTAAAAATACTGAAGTAGTCAATGAATTATGAATTATGGTACAGTCCACATTATTTTCTTTTTTTTTTTTAAGGGAAAAGGGATTCTCCCTACAATGTAATCAAAGCTGAGCCTCACTTGCTCCTTTGTTATTACCCTGTTGGTGACGATAAATGAGAACTTTTCATAAAGTGTTCTTGCTGTAGATGGACATTCTTCCCCTTTACTGTAACAGTTACTAGTGGGTATCCTTTTTGCAACGTCCAAGTGTTCATCATGGTCTTCACATCATGGAGCTCATTTTTTGTCCAGTGCTATAACACAGGGACACAAATATGCAAGGAAATGTTGGAAGCGGCAGCCCTTGAGAGCTAGCAGTAACACAATCATCATATGACCTTCCATAGCCAAGACTAGAGTTGCCTCAGTTGTGGCACGTCTTCCCATCACACATCAGGGAAACATTAAGGGAAACTATATAAGGTTTCTTGTAAACTGATGGAACAAATCTAATCCAGATTATCTTCTTTTTCCTTTCCAGCCAACCATAATCAGAGGAAAGCTAGAAAAAGTGGCATTTCAATAAGAAAGCTTATTTCCTCCAAAACAGTTTTATAATAATACTAAACCATTGCCCAGTTCAAATGTAAGAGGCAGCCATGATCTGAAACGATGTGACTGCAGCACACAATCAAGTCATGAGCCCCACACTCCTTTTCACCATTGCAGAACATCCTGAAGCAGATGCTTAGCACATGAATTGCTCATGCCTTCTTCAAGCACCATTACCCTAATAAACTTTAATCAACATGATTTTAATGTAAGGACTGATTCTGCAGCCATTCTGAGACACAAGAGGTTATATGTATTGGCTGGATTCACAAGACATGGTAACTTATCCTGCAAATATGCTACGAAGTGTGGGTGGCTTGTGAAACAGCTCATGCAGCAATTCACAGAAGTTTAGGCTTAGAGTACATTATTTTTACCTCTTTCCCCCCAGGTCCCCCAGCTAGTATACCAGGGTCATGCATATAAGTATCCTGATTTATCCTCCTCCTCGATCTAATTTGTCATATTCTTTAGGGAGAAAAAACATTTTGCTACTTTATTTTTCAACAGTCAGATCAATCGACAGCTCTCAAGTCTGCATAGAGTGACTTATGTGCAGCCTTGCTCAGTCAGTGTCCATGCTTATTGCCTAATGCATGACAACAGCAAACACTTCCCAGGACACTGGCCTGGCAAGGCAGCTGTAGGAGCACATCTGTGAAGGACTGAAGGGGTAAAAGAAGAAATTAAGAATGAAAAATGTAGAAAAAGGGTAAGGAGCCAGCAATGGTTGCTCCAGCATGTACTTGGACACTGGTGGACAAGTTGTCCCTGGCAGCAAGTCAAGCCATATTGTCAAGATCAGCAAGGGGTTTTTGCTACCCTTGCTGAGCAGCTCACGCACCACTTCCATTTCCTTGAATTTGGATGACATGACAACCCGTCGGTTCAACAAACCCTAGAACAAGCTACCCTGTTTGAAGCATCCAGGTTCAGAAACACCTAAAGCCATCCAAGGCTAATTACCCACAATGGGTTGCTGCTTTGTGCAAAAGTAGTCACTTGTGCCACCTTAATGAAACGGAGTCCTTGGTGAAACTGATGTCCGAATACAATTATGTAATAAAATACAAGCTTACAGAAGTTGAGATTGTCTCTCTGCTTCTGGCACAAACTCCATTATTCTGATCAGCAGCAGCACCTGTAGGACAAACCTAACAAAACCCCCCCAAAATTAGTGAACAGTTGAAACCAATGCTGCGTAAAATAGTATTTCTGATCAGTAAGATTTTTTTAAAAGTTCTTTTCCTCCTTATCTTACTGAAAAAAAAGTTAAAAAATACTTGCATTTGACAAGCTGTTCCACAGATCTTTGTTTTGAGTATTCTGATAGCTGAATCGTGACAAATATTTTATAAGTCCAGTTTGAAACACTTCCGGGCTGAGATAATCCTGCAGCATATTTAAAATACAAGCTCCCTGAAAAGAGAGGAATGAAACAATATAGTTTACATATGCTTTTCTAGTGTCTGATTAATCACAAGTTTGGATCAAAAAGTTATATAGGTGCTCTTATTAGGATACATATAAACTCTGATTTCATAGCCCTTGGCTGTGGCTTTTAAGATTTATTTATCAATGCAAATGCAAATGAATTCTAAGCAAAGTATTCCTTATTTTTGTAAAATAGTGAATAATGTAAAATGAATCATCCCTGATGGCAATAATAATATGGATCACAGCTCTAATTATGGAGCCACTAAAAACATGAAAATCACATCACAACCAAGGAAGACATATATAAAAATGTGTCATAGCAAAACTGAAACAAAATTTGCAAATTTTGCTCTGAAATTTTTACATTTTGTATAATTCAGATTTTGGCAATGGTATCAAACTAAATTTAAACAGCAAAAATAATTGACATCTAGAATTCTTGCACAAATGTTTTCTACCACATAAAAATGTGTTTTATATAAACCAGCTGAATGCTCTTAGTGCTGCTCCATATTTAGCAAAAATGGCACCATTCACACACAACAGGAAGATTTGCAAAGTTGTACAGACATGTAACAAACCTTCAGAAAAAGAATCAATGTGCAAAAAACCCTACAACAGAGCATGATTATTTTAACCTTTTTTAAGCCACAAGCAAACTGTTGCCTGGATTTGCATGACAAAATAAACAACAGCCACTCTGCGCTGGAGGCTGAATACTCCAAGAGTTCACTCACAGGTACTGCAACCTACTGTGGCTTGAACAAGCTCTGGCAGGCTGCAGCGACCATGCAAAGCTGGCCAGTTTAGTCTAACAAATTTAAATACTAACAGCAAATATTCTTTCAAATATTTGACAGATAATTTCCAGTTTAATGAAACTGAATCAAGGTTTCTTATTTTACCTTATCATAGGAAACATCATCAAACATTTCTAGAATCTGATCTGGATCTTCAACAGGAGTCGAGATAGGATGTGAGGAATTTAAAGCATCCACTGTCATGGCAGCAAAGTATTTGTTTAAAAAATGATCTTCCTAATAAAGGAGAATACAAAACTGAAATATTCCTTTAATATGTTTTGAATACATAACAATTTAAGTGACATGCTTAGCTTGCAATCGTATATACACTCACCAAAAGTAAGTACCACTGAACTGAATAGAACTTTATCTGAATAACAAGCATAGGATTGTATTGTAAAGCAGCTATTAATGTATTTCCATGTATTACTTAATGCAAACATATTTATACTTTTAGGATATAATTCTCAGGTGTAATCCAACTTGAAAACTTTCAGGCATCCAATGCAGAGCAGATGAGGAACAGTGGGGGTGACCTTCATCTCTCTGTCCTTCTGCTCTGCATTTTTGCTGGATGGGTCACTCATCTAGCTGGACTGTTTTGGAGGGGGAAGAGCGGAGGCTGAAGCATCTTCACCCTACTTGTATCTTGGCTGCCCTGGACTCTTTCCCACTCCCCGAAACACCCACTTTTCACTTGCTCTGAGAACACTTTTCTTACCTCAAAAAGCAGCTGGTACATTTCTCTCTGTGCCAGCTAAGGGGATAGGAGACTGGAGCTTGATTCCAAGCTCAAAGGTACAAGCACAATCTCTGACCTTGGATACAGGAATAAAAAATGTATTGTGCCCCCTAGATATTGTCTGAGATTCCATAAGATTACTCCCTTTCTTATTTTCATTGGCATGTTCATGTTCTCCATTTCATCCATTTAGGTCTGCAACAGGCCTCATAAACACAGATGAGCAAAACTGGCTTCAGGGTCACTGGACACAGGATTCTACATATTGACATTTTACCATAGAACACACCATGTGAACAGTGAGGTCAAACAAGAAGGAAATGCAAAAAGGAAACAAACAGGCTGTGCTGATTGTTCTGAAGCTAAATATATGTAAAATAATTACAGTGAGCATTCACAATGGACTATCATTGATAACACAAATTTTCTAGCACTGGCCAACTAACTGAAACTAGTAGTGAGGAAAAAACATTATCTTGATTTAAACTACAAACAATTGAACTAAATTTCTGGATAACATTTCAGATGTTAATATGTAGGCCTGGCAGCCCTCTAGTACTATTTGCATAGTAAAGGAAGGTATTTTGCCCCTTTTGTCCTTTACCCCTCTTTCCAGTCCTGAAACCAACCCAGCCCACCCTGAGAGGTCTGAAATGCCTTCTCCTAATCCAGGCTTCCTGGTGTTGTGAGCAAGAATGCCACTCCTAAAGAATGTTTTGTTGCAGGTCTGGCTTACTGCTAGATGATTATCTTCAGCTAGTAATCATAATGTATTTTAAGAATGAGATTGATATTGAAAAAATGATACTCACAACTTTTAGTTCTGGGTGGGTATTTCTTACTGATAAAAATTCCATAAACTTTGCAAATCCTTCATTGAGCCAAAGATCATTCCACCATTCCATGGTGACAAGGTTTCCAAACCACTGCAAAGAATGACATTGCATAGCAAGTATGGAGTTATTTAGATTTTACTATTCAAATTTGTATTTTGGACAGCTGAAATTGCAATAACCCTTTGCCCCCTCCTCTCTAGCATGAACAATCAAAATGGAAATTCCTGCATTCCCTGCGTGCTCTAAATAATTCCTCTACCCGTCTCCAAGAAAAAGATTGATTTTTTTTACTAAGCAATTAAGACAGGTTCCCCAACACGGTGCCTACAGCCACCAATGGCATCCACAGAAATATGCCACTGCAGCTGCCTGACTACTCATCTCTGTGCTGTGGTGTCTCACTTGCTTTGGGCCCAGATCCTTGTTTACATCTACCCTCTTCCCTTCTGATTCAGCAGATGGCAGCTAGAGACCCCCAGTTAAATCCTAATGTCAATGTTTAAATGGGAGAGAAAAAAACAGATTCTTTTTGCTCCTATTGAAATCAGGGAATAGGCATGATTTTGGAGATAGCATAACTCATGGCTTGTCCAATTTACATAAAGCATTTCAACTTGTCAACTGACTATGTTAATAATAAAGATACACAAAGGATTGGGAATCCCCTGGCCCCGCAGGTCTGCCTTCTGTCCTTTTCTCTAGCCAGAAACAGGGGAAATTTCTCATGCTCCCCGCACCATGCTGCAGGTGAAGCTTTACAAAATCGTCTGATTGTGAGAAGTTTTTAAATGCATTATTACAGCATGGGGAAGGGGAGGAGTTTTCAGGAAAGGGAGTTCTTGCTGGAAAAGGAAGAGTTAAACATCCCCTCCAGAACCCTGTAACCCTCCATTGATGCATTTAGGCTTGAAAGAGTCACTATTCCTGCCAGTGGAGGCTTTAGAAAAAAACTAAATGCGGGGTGAGCATTTTGGGGAACAAATCCTCTATTCCAAACCTTCAATCACCATCCCCCACTGTATTTGAATTTTTAAAATATCTCATTCTTTAACAGATCTCAGTGTGGGGCCATTTGTGGGAGACTATGACCTCTGCAAAAATTCATCCTTCTCTCACTGCAATGGGGGCTTTAAAAACCCATTGCTACCAATGGAGGCTTAAAAAAAAAACTGACTACAGTGGCAGAGGGCTGATATGTGTGTGAGCATACATGTGTGTGTATGAATGAGTGTGTTAGTGAACAGAGTCTGGGCAATCTTAGAGCATTTGACATGCTGTCCAAGAATCAATTTGGCCCTTGCACTGAAAATGTTTTCCCATGGCTGATTTACAGTCTGCTGGGGATGCAAAACTGCAGCCAGTTAACATGACCTCTGATTTTAGAGGTACTTGACATCTAAAGGTTAGAATCTACAATTCCATGTTATAAAACACCAGGTATAACTTACTTGATGAGCAAGTTCATGGGCTACAATCATAGTAATTCCAAGTCTACTTGATGCTGAGGACTTTTCAGGATCATACAGCAAAGCAGATTCCCTATATGTAGTCAGCCCCCAATTTTCCATTGCACCAGACTGAAAATCAGGAATAGCAGCTAGGTCTGTAAATAAAAAATTTTGACTAAATTAATTGTTCCTACATGTCCACTTCATTTGTTAATTCAAAAGCACATTTGGGAAATAAACATGTACTATGTATCTTGCCGTATTTCTATTAAAGGGAAATAAAGTAGAAGTAGACTTACTAATATTGCAAAATCTACCAAAGTACAATCTAGTGGCAACATTAGCTTCTGAGCCCTTTGTTCCCTACCCCATATCCTGCCCTAGTCTGGCTTTAGTTATATGTAGCTACGCACAGATAGTTGCACCACATGATAGAGAAATATGCCCACCTAAAAGTACATTTCATTTAAAGCAATGCAGTGCAGTCAAATGATATCCATATCTGAGTGCACATTAGAATGTGCATGCCATTTCTACTTGCAGTTTTTGATCTAGCAAGTGCTACATTAATGGGCATTTGTTTCTATAGACTAATAATCTTCCTAGGATTCTCCTCATCCTGCTTTCTTTCACTTAAGCCTGGAAAGGCTCTCTGGATTATGTAAAACTCACTCTGAAGTGATGTTTCAGCCCTCAAAATAATTGCAGGAATAGAAGTATTCTGGATGATAGTGGGAAACTATTTTGTACATATTCAAAGTTGTTAAAATAACAGGCTATTTTTTATTTTGTCTTTCAAAAGGAACTCCCATGGGTTTGAGGCTTGGTTGATAATCTTGAGGCTGGTTCATAGAACTAAATTATTTAATTCATGTATACATGTATTATTGTTGTTAGGTTCCCTTAGGGTTCATAAATACCTTGTTTGGGCAATGGATAAGGAATGCTAAAATATTCCTCAAAGAAGTCCAATAGTTTTACTGCTGCATCCAAGGCATAATCTGCTTGTTTGATCTTGTGTGGTACAGCATATACCGAAACCTAAAAATCAGAAATACGGATGAAATCTGCATGCTACTCTAAATAGGATTGTTAACAATTAAGACTTGTTTAGTCTGTTTAAAATGACAGAACAGCTTGAGAGACATCTATATTGAATTCAGTGTTTCCTGCCTTCTGTTTCCAGGTTGTACTGGGACATGTTTCTTAGGGCAAAGTCCTGATCTAGTCAAATTGGTGAAAATCAGTTGCTCATCACAGGTTAACTTAATAAACCCACAACCCTAAAATTCATGTTATTAACAGGCTATATATTCTATTTGAGGTCTTATTTGTACCTGTATTATTTAACTTTTAAGCCACCCTGGAATAAGTTTTATTCAGCTCAATTTAATAGTGCCAACCCCCCCCCCACACACACACACACATCACAAGCATAATGGAAAGACATGGGTCCCTACTTCAGTATGTCTCCTGACAGATAGAAATAAGAAGAAGTGGAGAAGAGTCTTCCTAAATCTTCATTATAAATAGTTGAATATTAATTGAACATATAACAACTAGTGACTTAACTGTTGTATTTTAATTTAATACAAATTTAATATTTATATTTTTAATTTATATTATAATTATTTTAACTTGATGGTGTGAGCCGCCCCGAGGCTTCGGCGAATGGGGCGGCATAAAAATGTTTTAATAAATAAAAATAAATAAATAAAACTGTGACTAAGATATACAGAAGCAAAGATCTTTGAAGAACACACATACACACAAAAATTCACCCTGAGCCCCACAGACTCTTTGATACCTATAACAGAAAATGTGTTCTGCATCAGAATAGGATGTGTGGAAGAAAGTTTAGCCTCTTGCCTGTCTCTAGGCCACTCACTATGCAGCAAGTAGGAGTGGACGTATTTTTCCTCTCTATTTTTGTCTAGTCATGTCAACGAAATGGATGACTGGCTGCAAAGAAAGAAGGTAAAAGAGGCCCTTTCCCCCATCCACTACCAACTTATCTTGTTACAAGGCTGTTACACTAAACAAAGTCAATAATTTTAAATAATTATAACTTTGTTGCACAATTTTTCATGTCGAGTACATTCTTGGCTTAAATAAGTTTTGGTAAGATGGACTATTTTTAATTCCGTATCAGTTTGAGGATGTTATTTTATGGAAGAATAAGATGTACTCAGCCATGACATTCACCGGATGATCATCAGAATCACTAAATGCCTGCATGGTCCTACCACACAAGGTTGTAAAACTAAAATAAACTGAAAATGGGACTTGGAAGATGCAAGTAAAACCAGGAAGGATGAACTGATGTGTGACCTGCAAATTATCTAATATCGCTTAGCTTTTCCTGCCTGTAGGTTAGGGTCTGGATTCAGTCATGCTTAGAGTTATCTCGCTGAACTCAATTGGTTTACTTGAAGCATGACTAAGACTGAATCTAACCCAATCATACCTAAGGACAAACCATGTGTTATTTAACCCATGGTTGGTTGGGAGCGAGCAAGAATGCTGTTTCCCTCCTCTTCCCTCCTTGCCTCTTCTGTTTTGTTTCTTCTTTGCAAAGCAACAAACCTTGTATAAAACACTGGGTTGTTTCTCCCTCAACAAACCAGTTTCAGAGTCATAGGTCATGGAGCACAAACCAGGGACAGAACATTGCCCAGTTCTTTTGTAAACAGAAAATGAAGTGGGAGCAGCAGAAAAGCAGGAGCCAATGGCTTGTTCAGAGAATCTATGGGTCATCATTAAATGTGAACCAGAACCTTCTGTCTACTATATCAGTAGGTACTCTAGATCAGCCTTTCCCAACCTGGCATCCTCTAAAAGTGCTAGACTACAAATCCCATCATATGTGCTGGCTGGAGGCAATGGGTGTTGTCATTCAGCACATATGTAGGTTGCCAAGTTAGGAAAGGCTGAACTAGATGGAACAGCTTTGCAGTTTTTATCCTAACAGTTCAGAAAATGAAGCATTACTGATACAATATTTTACAAACCAATACAAATGATTTTGCAAAAAAGATAATACATAACTGTTTTTCAAATTTTGAGGACAACCAGCATAATTCTTATACTTGCTTATTGTCATACCTGACAAAAACATTTTAAATTGTAAACTGATGTTTCAAATCTCATTTTTCAGTCTTCAATTTTTACCTAGGAACTGAAACTGTTACAATTATCATTTATAATATAAATATGCAAACACTTCAGCTGTTATTGAAGTTTACCTTAATTCCACGGCTGGTCATCTTTGTAACTGATTTGAAATCAGAAACAATGAAAGCCACTAGGTAAGTGCTCATCTTTACACTTATCTCAAATTGATCTTCAATGAGATTTTCTTTGATGTTTATTGATTTCACCTAAATTTTAAAAAAAATCTGTTACAATGTATATTTAGCTTAAAATTACATTTATTACTTCTATACACACCCTTTACTCCCTTCATGGCTATAGTAAGGATCAAGCGCTATGTCCTTCTTTAACTTCATCCCACACGTTAGGATATCTGGCCTCACCCAGGTCACATTCTGTTTTGTTACACACATACACACAATTCCCACTAGTTCTTCCAAAATCTGCCTAGTGAACAAGCCTCAAATTTCAGGCTCTCCCCTCTTACATTTTTCTGTAAAACATATTTGGTGTCACAAACATGTCCCAAAATGTTCTTAAGAATAGTTTTGTGGGGCACTTACATGCACCAGATTAAAGACTCTGAAGATAGGGACAGAAGTTTAAATAAAGGTCACCTTAGTCTCCTCTTAAAGCAAACATTCAACAAACAATTAAAATTAATTGAGGAAAACTTTTTATGTTGTTTTAAAATTTGAAGGCCAAGTGGTAGATATGAAGAGTTAGGCTCAGTTAGACCAAGCACTGATATGCAGATATGTATAATTGTAAGGCATAGCCTCATGAAAGAGTGAAACTTAAATTACTTGTGCTAGCTGAAACCTGAAAGTCATTGTTATGCTAACTGAAACACCATGGACAAAAGCCTTTCATATTCATTGTTTGGCATGAGGCAGTTTTGTCTGGGGTCAAAAATGATCCCTTTTGCAACTAATGCTAAGTTTTACATTGACACTGGCTTGAAAACCAATGTCCAAAGACTATATGCCAATACAATCTATAAGACAGTCTCACTGTATTCAGTGGGATTTAATTGCCAGGAAAACATGTATAAAATTGCAACCTAAAAGTAACATAGCAGAAGGCAATTGCTTTCTATTTCTAATGCTACTAAACCTGATTTCACAATCTTTCTTGCAATTTTAAGTTTGCCATTCTCCTCTCCTCTCCTCTCCTCTCCTCTCCCTTCCTTTCCTTTCCTTTCCTAAGGTATGCATAGTATGTGCACAAATTCTTATGAGAGCCACTTTATTTATATTTGTTTAATGGAGCAATTTTCTATTTATTTATTTAGAATTCTTTTTCTTTCTTTCTTCCTGAACTAGGTAATAGTAGGATTGCATATACACATACTAAAGGCATATTAGATAGAGCAAGATGTTTGGGATCTCTTCTGATCTTAACAGAAAATTTAGCTTTGAATGCCGGTTCATCAAAGCACGGGAAGGCCATTCGTGCTGTTGTTGGTTCAAAATGTGTCGATGCAAGCACCCTGGAATTAAGAAAAGAAACCGACACTGATCATCCACACAGGAATACAAAAGAAAAGTTCGCTAGCAAATATTTCACCTAATGAAACACAATGGAAATCCATTTTTAGTAAAAGATTCAACTTTAACCATGCAGTATTAAGCATGCTTTCTTAGAAGTAAATCCCTCTTTACTTGATTTAACTTATTCCAGATAACTGTGCTCAGTGCTGCAGCCTTTGTTTTGGGTATTGCCAGCATCTCTTTGGAATGTAGTCTGAAAGACTTCTCCCAGTGTGCACTGATGGGCTGCCATCTGTCTGTCCTGTCCCTGATCCATGCTGCTGAGTAGTGCAACCCATATGGTAGAATCATGTTCCCCACAACCCAGAAAGAGTTGTCTATTAGGTTGTGGGGAGCTCAGTTCTGTTGGCACATCATTCCATGCGTCATTTTCCAGCAGAATTGCATTATTTTATGGCAGCAGTCACACAAATGATGGTGATGAACCTCTGTTGTTCACCCTGATCTAGACAGTAACAAAGATTTGCTGGAACCTTCACAAGCCCGCTGTGACAAGTTTATTGTGCACTTTCAAGGACAAATGGCTCATATTCATTCTGCCCAAGGCACCATCATTGATACAGTTCAGAGGATGTGTCCATAACACTGTTTTATGGATTTTGTGAACTTAGTTTTTTTACTGCAACCAGAGGATGTGGACAAAGTGCTTACAGAAGTTCATTTAACCACCTATCTTCTCAACCCTTACCCTTGGCTTCTTACATCGATCCAGAAATATTTGGGTAGGTGGGTCCAAGGGATTACAAATGCCTAAGCAAGAACAGGTCCTAACTGCCTTTAAGAAATCTTCAAAAAGCATCAAAAACATGTTAACTATTACCTAGCCACAAGGTGCTCAAGGTGCTCTACAGGGTGGCGTTGGCACAGCAAGTGAAACAGATTATCTAGACCCATTTCAGCTGGGTTTAGCACTGAAACCGACTTGATGAAACACCTCTGTCAGGAGAATGACCCTGTTGTTTCTTCTTGATCTCTCTACAGTTTTGATACTATCTGTTATGGTCCAGTATCTTGCTAGACTGGTTCTTTGGAGAAGACATGGAATGGTTCTGCTGCTAGCTGCAGAGTGAGTTTGAGAAAGTAGTACTGGGGATTTCTACCTGAATTGCAGGGCCCTGTAGGGTCCATCCTATCCTTCAAGGTTTTTAAAAATATATCTGAAGCTCCTGGGTGAGGCGATTCATGATTTTGGAATGAGGTGTCACCAGTATGTAGTTATTTCTCAGTGCTATTTCTTCTTGTCGTATGAGGTTGATCTTAGGGCCAAGGTTGAAAGATGATCTTAGGGCCAGGGTAGGTGTATAGGGGATGAGGTGTTCCTTCAGATAGTGTGGCCCCAAAAGTGCTTGGAGCTGTTCAGCTACTACCCACTCAAACACCTTGCCCAAGAAGGGAATACTGGCCATAGGCCTATAGTTATTCACATCTTCTGGGTCCAGGTTAGATTTCTTTAGGAGTGGTTTGATTGCAGCCTCTTTTAAAAATGCTGGCACCACTCCCCTTTTCAATGAGGCAGTTACATCCTCCTGCACCCTGCTGCTAATCCCTTCCTTTGATGTAACAAGAAATTTTATTGTTTTCAATTATACTGCATTGTATGGTATTATATAATTATATTGTAGGTATCAAATCCGTATGTATATACTCTTGAAATCCATTTTTGGGATGAAAGTACAGTTTAAACATTCATAAAATTGGTATCTAAATGCTACTCAAAATAATTCATATTATTAAAGCTGAATATTTTCTCCAGAACAAGAAAATCATCCTAAACCCATTTTCCAGTCATTCAAAATGGGTATTTATTCCATGCTTTATTAACCAATTCAGCTGCAGAAGGGGGGGGAACCCACACATTTGTAGCATAAGTCATGAAATCTTCTTTAAAGTGAATGGGAGAGTCCCTATTAGGCTTTTATTATATAAAAAGATTAAAAGCTCGGAAAACCATGGGCAGAATCCCATGGGCTTGCAACCTGGCAGCACCACCAATTCTGTTCTGCAAGCAGTGCTAACCACTTTGCACCTCTGGGTATAACCATAAATGAGTGAAAACAGTTGTTTCCGGAACAGGGCAGGTTAGTGATGCTTACATAAGGGAGCTTGTGTGATGCAATTGGCAGCACTGGCTGCTTGTACCACAGAAGCAGTGATTGGTAGATACAGAAGCAGCTGGATACTGCTCATAGGTATGAGAAGCTCCAAAAGATGGATAAAAATCTAAATGAAAATAACGTCCCAAAGCAGCAAAGCAGCATCATGTCCCAGGCAGTAAAACCTTAGTTTGAAAAAGAACTTACCTTATTTCACCTTCTGGAGTTCTGTATGTACTTTTATAAAAACCATGGAAACTGCTGGACAAATTAGCAGAGTACTCAATACTAATAATGTAGTTGTGGCCAATTTGCAGCGGTTCAGAAGCCACCAGTGCAATTTGCTCAAATGGCGGATATTCTAAAACCATCATGTCCTTGTTAGTATCACTGCTTTTCATTGCTTCTTGCATTGTAGCCTTGATAATCTGAAGGTATTTGCTGTGCAGGATGACTGAACTAGTTTTTTGGGTTACTGTAATCTCTATTTTGGTTAATCCAGTAAAAGTTAGAGTGGTAAGATTTGGATGAATAAGAAGATCATAATGAACCGGAATGACATGCTTAGGAAGCCTAATTTTATTCCAAGGAAAGGGATTGCTTCCATTTCCAGCAAGGGAATAGGCTGTTTTACAGCCCAGTACAGCAGCAAGATTTACAATGCCTAACAATAAAAATATTTTCATCATCTTCAGTGTCAATCTGAATGTCCGGTTGTTATGGTATCCACAGTGGCAGATCTAATAAAGAAATATTCACAAATTGAGTAAATATAAACACAGTTCCTTTTCTCTTTAAACTTTACTACCACAGCATGCATGGTTTTTAAAAGTATGTTCCCATTCAGACAGTCTTTCCTGTCAGACAAGAAAATGGAATTCCATGCACTTTGGACTTACAAAGGGGAGATTGGAACAGTAACACTGTAGCAATACAGGTCTAACTAGTTGAGGTGCTCATGAAAGACAATTTACTAGTTAAGTCAATAAACTCTCATGATGATAACTGTTTCTTAGTGTAAATGACAAGAGTTCCGAATATAAAAATGTGAGGATCTGCTTTTAATGGGAAGGGGAGGAACATCTTGCCATAAGAGAGTACATTATGTCCCAGCAATTCAGAAACTGGAAGACAAAATTACTGGATCTCACATTTTGACATCACAGTTAACACAATAATTTTTAGGAACCAGTTTAAATCTTTCAACATATGAACATGTCCCATAAATTGCACCACAAACAATACAACCAATATGAATCAAAATGAGGAAGTAGACTATTGCAAAGCAGTCAAGTGACAGGTAGACCACTGAGTTTAACCAGTCCCATCCCTGAAAGGAATAGAGATGCCACTGGATGATTTCTCTAATATACTGAAACACACATGGGAGAATCCTGACCTGATGAGAGTCCCCCTCCTATGCCAATGTTAGAAGCTTGTGTCCAAATTTTGCCTTCTGCAAGCAAAGAAAAGATCCTTCAGTTTTGGGGGATACACCACATATTATGACTCACTGCATTCAGCAGGAACATCTGATTCTGTTGAGAAAAGAAGAGTTTGAGAAAATCTATTTCCAGGAGTACAACTGATTGAGCTGCAATTTGATTCCAACCCATTAGGTGCATGTGTGTTACATTATAATCCTAATGCAATTACATTTGAAAAACATGTAGTGATAATTTTTCTAGGCACCCTTACATCAAGCATATACATACATATGGAGGAAGGATGTGACAACATCATAGTTCATGAAACTGATGGCCCAAGCATGCAGTAGTAACTCTGGTAAGACCATGAGATAAATTTTGGAAGTTGTGTATACCCCATGAAGTATCTAATTTTCGAGAAGTGAAGTGCATGTCTGGAGACCCTTGTCATGCAATCCATCCCCCACAAAATGAAGTAGATGGGTTGTATGCATGTTAATAAAGTCTATAAATTCTGCGCCATTACACAAATCTGGGGTTTCAGTACTATCGGAGCTGTAAGAAATTTTCTGTCCGTTTTCCACACAAGGCGTCACTGGAAGCCTCGACGCGCTTCTGTCAGGTGGTAACGCTACCAGGCTAGCTGGCCGAGAGCCTCCTGCACTTCATGATGGCGGCGAGTGGGAAATGAAGGCTCACACAGGAGTAAAGGGGAAAGGCCACTTCTAAGCGCATGTGTGGGGAATGCACGGAGTCCTACTTGGCCGCTGCCTCCTTCGGACACCCCTCCGTATTTCCCTGGTTTCTTGCGGCTAGCGAAACACATGGAACGACACGTTCCCGGAGTGGGGGGGAGGGGAGGCTTCGTAATTGCCGGCCGCCCTTCGGAGCTCAATAACGGCTCCCGAGGGACAGCAAGAGCGGCTGCGGCTGGCGAAACGAAACAGACCGGCGCCAGCACCCCCAGGACTCCCCGGATCCCGCCGTTCTGGGGGGAACAGAATGGGTGGGGGGTCAAGGAGCAGGCCGGCCGCGCATGGGCAGTGATGTCCGGCGAAAGAGACGCTGCTCCCGCAACTTACAGCCAGCCGCGCCGTTCATTGGCTGGAAGTAGGTCTCCTTAGCGGGGGCTCGTGTTTGATGTTGCTGCTGCCCCCCCCCCCCGCTGTCCCGTGCGGCCTCCCTTCCGCGGCGACCCCCACTTACCTTTTCCGCGAGGCCCGCCGCCGCCTCGTTTCTTCTCCTCCTTCCGGACCCGGGGAGTGAAAGCGAAAGCGCCCTGACATTTTTCCCGCCCCTACCTCCTTTAGCTCGGCTGCAAGCTCTGCTCTTTTTGTCTCGAGCTGTGTCAAGGGTTAGGATTGCAGTAATGTCGGAGTGCAGGCAATAAACCAGAATTCTTGGGTCTCATTGCAGCTATTTGTTTGATACATTGTCTGCTAATTCGTTGATGCAAACTTCTATGTTACACGTTCGGATAGACCTCGGAAGCATAGCCTTCAGATGTTCTTTATGGATGGCAGAAGTTCAGAACTGCTGGATTTACATTTGGAAATGAAGAAAAGTACTTTTTATTAATTTACTGCTCTCTCTGTGTGAAGTGACTAGATTGACACTTATTTAAAATGCTCGTTTTGGGTTTTTTTGTGATGGTAGAGTTTTAGGTCGTTTTGTTATTGATTTTTTTGGTATTTTTTGTACTTTTGTTTATTGTCATATAATGCACCCTGTTTAAGTGGTGAGACGTTTTAGCGGTTCCAGCACTAACTTCCATGATGTTTTTGTGATAAAGTTTAATTTATACATTTATATAGCATAGGATAAGGATTTACAGCATTAACATTCCTAGAGATTGCTGTCCCACTCTTTGGAAAACCCCTTTCTTACAGGAAACTTTTTTTTTTTTTGGTCCTTTTTTAAATCTCCTTTTCTGACCCAGTTCTAATACAAACTAATTTCCTTTATCAATCAGTTGAGAAAACTTTTACAGTCGCTCTCTTTGTTTAATTAGATAAGGAGGGATCTTTGCTACCTCAGGCCATTCCAGCTTTCTTTACAATGAGAAGCATTGATTTGCATGGGATTTCTGCAAGTTCAGCCAGCCTGTTCCCAAACCCATAACTATATCTCTCATTATTATCCAGTATACTGGATTAGCATATTTTGTACAAATATATAAAGTTCAACTAAATATGTTATTCCAAAATATTGGGAACTTTAAATATTCCAAATATTCTGATTCACAGTATTGGTAGAGGTCTTGCCTATAGTGGCATGACCCAAATGCTTGGAATTAATCCTCATCAACTTTCTGGATTGTGTGTAGAAAGTCCATAGGTTTTTTCTTCAGAAAGTTCACTGCACACATATGCCATGTTATAAACAACAATGGAAGGGTAAGGGCTATTGCACTCTCCCCTCTCATATTTAAATAACACATTTGTAGTGAGTTTATCTCTTTTCTGCATGCTGATCCATAGTTTCCATGTGTGACCCTGTAAATAGACTGCATTTTGAATACCCAATGAATCCTGATTTTAGAGATTATCTTTCCATACCTCCAACATGGTCAGGGCTTCCTCCCAACAGGCTGAGGTGAATCTTCAAGCTCAGGTGGCAGATAGGGAGGACAATGAATCACAAACATCTGCCACCACCATAGAATGCTCAGCCACTCTGCAGAGCTCAACTGGCAATTTGCTGCAACAGGAAAGCAGTCAATGGCAATTGGCAGGGAACACCTGGCATGGTTTTCCACAAATGCCTCCTGTGCAGCACAGGTAATCCACAGGACTACCTTCCTGTCACTCAGAGGCAGTTCCAACCACTGGGTGCCAACTTGTTATTGTGCTCCCTGTTCCACTTCCTTTCCGTTTAAAACTTAAAATGTCTTCTACACTGAGCCACCTTTGGCTTCTGCAGGGCAGCTGACTGTTACTGCTGCTATGCTATTGTAGGAGCTACTGCTTGACCTCATGACAGTGCAGCAGCTTTAAGACCCTTCCCTTGGAACAGAAACGCTTTTGGAGTCTGCCTGGCATCCAGTGCTTGAGAGCACGAGCACCCTCAATGAGACGGGAAGTGCTACTAAAAATGGGTCAGCCCAGCTGGCCAAAGACAAAACCCTTCCCTCTGTAAGAAATGTGGCCTTCTGGATGAAGGTGAAGCACCCAGGAGCCAGCACACTTCATAGGGCTGGTAAGAACAACTGTAGAAGCAGCAGATCCAGCTCTGTTGTAGGTATGTTCTTTACTCTCCAGATGTTGAGCTGCAGTTCCCATCATCCTTCACCATTAGGAGTAGCAGTTCAGCAACATCTGAACAGACACAAATTGCCAGGCTCCTAGTGGTATAAATTAATGACATTATGCAACTTTTCCCTCTCAGCAGAACTTTTGTGGTAAGAAAAAAGATGGATGATGCTGTGGGAAAACCTGGGATTGGTTACGCATAGAAGGAAACTTTGCCCGAGCCCCCCATAAAATTATATGAATAAGGCAGTGTGATTGCATGATATAAACTTTGCCCACAAACACTCTTACACCCCAGTATCATGTACTCCTGCAACACTTCTTCAGAAACTGAGAAGTTAGTACACTGCTAGCTTGTTCCATCAGATGCCCCTAATTTCCTTTGAAATTCCTGTGCCAGGATTCCATAAGGTACTTCAGTACAGGAGTATGAATTTGACTAATACATACATATACTATACAAAATACATACATATAATACTTACATATACTATACAAAATAACTAGCATCTGAAATAACCAATTTGTATATTGGAAAAGATATTCAAATTGTTTTTTTTAATTATATCGGTAGAATGTTCATATGCTAACTTTAAAATTGCTGCCACAAGAGGTAGCTGTTTTCCTATTTCTTTTATTCAGTCAAGTGCTGAAACTAATAAATTCCAAAGGAAACATACAGCAAATCAGAAGGAAGTGAAAAACTACTATTTGTTTTATTCTTATATTCTGTCCTTAATTTAATTGGAATACATCCAAGTATTTTATTTATATTATGAATATAACCATGTGTTTTATAAATTAAGCAAATATCTGGTGTCATTGCTTTTCCGAAATCAAACATACTGGACCATCAGCTACAGAAGTTACAGTGTAAATAACTAAAGGGAAATAAATGTTGCAGTTATTTCAAAGTATTTAGTAGTCTAAAAGTAATTCTTATGGCTATATGTAGCCCAAGATATTAGAGCTCAACGAACACAGTTTAGAAATAAACTAGTTGCTATTTTGCTCCTTGCTAACCAATCAATATTCAGAAAAGACTAAGATAATAAGATGATTATATTGCATCTATGGTCTGAGATCCTGCCTATCCTGAAATATACATATATACACACACGCACATACACACACCTCTTATGAGAAACCCAAGGTGGCATACATAGCTCCATATTATCCTCACAACAGTAACCCTGTAAAGTAGGTTAGCCTGAGAGTCTGGCCCAAAGTCCCACCATTGAACTACATGACCAAAGTAGGGACTAGAACCCAGATCTCCTGGGCCTCCATTCCAACCACCACAGCAGCTCTCAGATTAGTGTAGCTTATTTTTCTTGTGTCAGACAAATTCAAAACAGGCTTTAGCTTTAATCATTCATTTATTAAATTAATATACAGCCCAACTGGCAAATGTCTTCAAGTTGGTTTACAATCATAAAATCTGTAAACCACTATTCTTAACTATGATGCCACATGGGAACCAACATGACATAGGGATTACAGTGGAACTTCCTACCTGGTCATGAAGGTCACTAGATGACTCTGGGCCCATCATGGACTCTCAGCCTAACTCTCACAGTGCTGTTACGATGAAGATAAAATGGAGAGGAATAGAGCCATATAAACTACTTTGAGTTTCTTGCAAGGTGAAGAAAGATGGGGTATAAGTGTAATGTAATATCAATAATAAATACCAAATAGCATAAAATATAAGTATAAAATTCTCATGATAATACAACAGTGAACAATAAACAAATATTAAAACATTACAGTCAGCAGTAAAGTTAATAACTACATCATCAGCTTAAATACCTGCTAAAAAAAGGAAACAACCTGGTGTCTAAGGGTACAATCCTAGGCACGTTTAGACAGAAAAAAGGCCTAGAATTATCCTAGCATTTATCAGACTGTCTAAACATAGAAGAGTTTCTCCCTTAGTGAAACATGATGAATCTGAAATGGGCAAATGCCTGTTATGAAATGCAAATTGTACAGTAGCAGAGAAACTTCTTGCTCTTACATCTTTACAAAACTAACATTACTGTTTAAGATGTATTTATGAGGGCATTTTTGCCTGAGAGGGGAGCAAATATACCTCGTGCTCTAAAATGTTTTAAATGTGTTAAAGTTCTGAGTTAAATTGGAGTTTAAACATATAAATTTATGGCACAAAATGTGTAACATAAACAATTGCAACTAGACCTCTGTATCAAGAGCAGCCCATTTTAAAGGGAAGCATGGGAACAAGGAACACACATCCAGTGCTAAGTGGTGTAGTATACAAGCACATTACTAAACTGATGATTGCAGCTAATAGTAAAAAGTAGCAGTCACAGAAGGAGACTTTTATATGCCACAAAGGTCATGTGGCCTACCATTGTATGATTTCCATGCGGGTTTTTGGTCAGGGCAAATGAGTATTTTGATGTTAGAGAAGACTTTCCTCATATTTCAAGAGGAAATCTATTGGTCCATATCTCTAGGAGGCCAAGATCATATATATTCAAGAAATACAGGAATATTGTCCTCCTTTATGCATGACTGTTTTTCATTTAAAATGTGTACAGTGCAGTACAGAGATGAAAGCTTCTTTTCCACAGAACTATTTCCTGAAGTGAGAAGGTCAGAACATTCATGAATTTCAAAAGGGATCACTCAAGCACTAAAGCATCATTAAACATTATTATTCTGAAATAGTTTTATGCTGTGGTCCTGTCAATTACCTGACATTAATCTTTTCCAGGGAAGAAGGCAAAAAAAAAAAAAAAAAAAATCTGTTCAGAGCTTACAAGAACCATCCATCTGGGAATTGTCTGTCTGTCTCACTGTTTGAAAGCAATTATAATTGTTCTCAAGGAATGAGGAGAATCAAGGTACCCTTCACTTGAACAATACAGCCATTTGGACTTCATTAATGATTTAAATACTTTCACCTCTTTCTGTCTGGTTGCAGGCTATTTGGAAGGATCAAAAAGACTTCCGTGGCAATGAGGCATTATTACATTGTAAAGCTGCAAAATATGTTTTAACTTTATTTGCACCAGTCTGATCAAACAAATGTATTGTCCCTATGTCTGTGGTCCTGT